AAATTGCTTTTCGCGTTGTTTTGCCTCGCGTCTCCCGCCTTCGAAGAGTAATCAATCTTACTTTGATGTTGCCAGATTTTCATGTGCTCTTGAAAACAGAGGGTGTCGAGTGAATAATTGAAGTGCATGTTGGTAGGGGAAAGTCGAGTACGGAGTACCTCTTGGTAGTTAATACGAGTAATTTGGTATTTGATAGTGAATAATAATGCAGAGAGTGGACACAGACCAGGCAAAGGCAAAGGAAAAAAGGCACAGACTTGGATTGACTGACTGACTATTCCCGAATCAATTCCCTCTTCCTCCTTATCCTCCTTATCCTCCTCCCATTCATCCATCTTCCCTCCCATCGCCATCTTCGAGTCTTGCGTCTCTGACTGTAACTGTACTACTAACTGACTACCCCCTAATCCATCAACGATTTCCGCTCTCCTCTTTAATCTTAGAATACCTGCCTACCACACCCTACAAGGCTACCTACTACCATACCCTGCTCTACCTGCTACCTGCTACCTGCTACCTGGTAGTACTGGACTGGACTGGACTGGACTGGTACCATCATCTAATCAAATCGTAATACGTCGCCAAATCGTCACCTCCTCCTTTTCACCATCCTCTCCTTCTCCACCACCACCACTACCACCATACACACACACTTACACACCTTATGAGTCTTTCACTTTCCTTTACACTACACTCGTTCTTGTACGCGCCTTCAACAGGAAGAACCATACATCATATCTACGAGTCCTTACTATACTTAATTTAATTCCGCCATCGCATTTCCGCACGCGTATCGCGACTGCAACTGCAACTGCAACCCGAAACACGACGAACGCGATCCTGCGACTGACACCGAGACCGTTACCGTGGCTGTCACTGGGGAGACTTAACACTTGGGACAACACTTGGGACTGCAGCTTGAGACTACTACTGCTGCAATAGTGCTACTAGTTACTGCGAGTCTGCGACTGCGAAAACGAGAAAAGCCCAACCCCCCCTGGTCAAAAAGTTGATTGTTGTCAACCCCTTCGGTTATACGGACCCCTCCCCTCCTATCCTCTCCCTCCTTCTGCTCTCTCACACGACCGCGACACTCAATAATCCACCACACAAACGATTCGCACACAACACCGCCACACTTGACACACACACACACACACACACACACCCCAAAAACCTTAACCCTCAGATATTCAAAACATAACCACCATGGTCCTCGAGGGCGTCATGCCCCCCTTATCGCCTCCTCTGGAGCGTAGCTCTAGTCCTGAGCCATGGGCGACCCCCTCGCTGGCACTGAACGCCGTCCCGCAACTCGACCGTTCCGTCTCCACCGCCTCTTCTGTCTCCTCAGTATCTGGTCGTTCCGCCAGCTCGCGACTCTCCGATGGTGGCAGGCGGAGGGGCTACATGCGACCAGAGGGTACAGAGTTCTCTCAGTCGGCCAAGAACAGAGAGAGCGTCATGTCCTTGGGTACCATCGCCCACCTGCAGTACTACTTCGCCAGGACGGGTCTCCTCGACACCGCGACCGGCCGCACATCCAAGGACAGGAAGAAGGGCTCCAGGACAGAGAGTGGATCTGATCGACCTGTCTCGGGCATATCGACCTCGGGCATGGATGGGGACATGTCGTTCCTGTCGATGCCTTCCCCAGACGGCACCACGGATCATCTTGGAGAGGGGCTCGTCGAGTCCCCTATTGACGACACAGCCTCCATGGCCTGGGACGACCAGGAACCCGTCATGCTGCCTCCGACGGTGAGCACGTACAAGATGGCTCCCGTCTACGTACCGCCGCCACCAGACATGGCCATCCTTCGCCGCGAACTGCGTGAGTCCCTCGAAGAGGCCAAGAAGCACCTACGCGAGTTGGAAAAGGGCCAGGCCACGAGCGACGCGACAACCGATGGCGACGCGCAACGTCGCGTTCCCGACCCAACTCCTGAATGGCACGAGATCCAGGGCTTGAACCTCCTTGACGTTGCTACCCTTGCCATCCGGGCAGCGAAGAACTACTATACTGCACATGAGGAACCGCAGCGACTCTACGCCATCAAGTCCGAGCGTGAAATCAGGAAGGAACTGTATGACGTGCTCGACGTCCTCAAACGCCTAGCTATTCGCAACTTCGCCAACGGCGTCCAATCCTACGAAACTTCTCACATCAAGACCTGGGTGTTTGGCATCAGCAAGTTGCTGGACACGGAAGAAGAGAAGGAGAAGCAGGAACGCGAGGAGCGCGAGAGTTGGACCTGGCTAGAGGGCGACTGGACTGGTAAGGAGAGGGAGCGGGAGTTGCTCTTCTTGAAGTCCTTCGATCCCACCCCCGAGCCTCTGCCGGAATGGACAGATCCAGAGGTGGGCCAGGTACCGACGCCGTTCCTCACATCATTGCAGAACGGGCTGCGCCTCGTTCACCTCCACAACGCACTTGTCAATAAGTCACGACGTCATTTCGAAGAAATCAAATCCTACCACACAGACACGGCCAAACCGTATCGTTGTGCAGACAACTTGCGGTACTGGGCCAAGGCGGCGGAACTGCGCTGGGACATCAAGCTGGACATTGATGTCATGGGCGTAGTCACCGGCACCGACATCGAGGCGTGGAAGAAGTTCGACGCCGCCGTCCTGACGTGGGCATCAGGAGTGCGGGAAGAGATCACTTCCGAGTGGAGGGAGCAGAAGAACCCGGCGAAGACGCCTACGCTCCAGATCGATCCCAGCTACGATGCTTTGTAATTCTTGATGTTGACCAAGCATTGAGATGCACGCCATTACCTTCTTCTGTCTATGCTTCACACCACCATATTCTCCGATCTAATAATTTGACACGAAGCATCCGATTGTTTATGAACCACCAACACCACCACTACTTCTTCTTCTCACTCGCCCCGGACCGGTCCTGGACGGGTTCTTTTACTACCTAATAATTACCTGTTTCCCCGCAGTTCAGTAGGCAGGCAACAGGTCTGCCTAGAGGACTGCCCGGGCCGGCGCAACAGCATTCTCGTGGTACGGAACTGACGAAGCCACCCACGAGCCGAAATCCAATGGACATAACCAACAAATCAACCAGTCAAACCAACCAAACCAACTTCTATTCAATCGCTAGTCACACATACAAATTCTGTCGAAGCACCGCGTATCCCCACGTTATTGGATTTTGAATGCGCCTGCACATATTTTTTTCCCCTCCATCATACCCATACCCATATACCCCCACCAGCAACCAGACAGACGGTGCAGGAAAGCTAGCGAACATGTCTTAACTCAATCATTTTTCTTATTACTATATGTAGATAGTCAGAGCGAGACGGTTTGTCAGTCAGATCGTCTAATGTCGTTAGATACCCCCCTCTCCAATCACCAACAGGAAAACCCTACAAAGAAACCAATAAAATGAAGTAAACAAACAAACAAACAAGCCACCCGGTGAAGCTCCATGCAACGATGTTGTGTACCGTGATACAAGGCCTCTTACATGAATATTTTCGCGCGTTTGTATCACAACAAAGCAGTTTGATGGCTTCACGGTTTCCACAGTGGACAAAGGGCAACGTACGAGCATCCACCAGAGACGAAGTTACCATCGCGATAGTCGCGGTAGTTAGTGATTGGTGGCGGCCGATGCTGATTGGCCGCCCTCTTTCCCGCACAACTCAACCCCTATTCCATGCCATTATCACGGGCTTGATAATTGTTATTTTGCTGGGATGGGCATGGCATTGCATGGGAATTATGGAACCGGCTTGGATGGGACGAACGAGGATTTGGTTCGAACGAACGGTTTGTAGATCGAGTTTTCTGGGTTGACCTAGCTGGCGGGCATGACGGGCATGTGGCATATGCATACCTCATGTACATGTAGCACCTAGATGGACTACTCGCAGATGAGGATAACTATTCTATATGGAGTGGGTTTGTACCTAGGTAATGATATACCTATCATTTCGATGTGGTTTTAGATGAATTAACTGCCTTCCCCCATCTCTTCTATCATGTGCTGGTGCTGTAGCCGATGTGCCGCGCAACGAGTCTCAGACTGCCAGGTCGGAAACAACCGACTTGTTCTGCCAGAATATCGTCATACGTCTGACCCATGCTTCCTGTTTGAATATATATAGTTACATATAATTATATGGAGTACGGGAAGACGCAGAAATGATTCCTACTACTAGGAGAACTTTTACAGAAGCTAGAGAAAGGGTAAACAGTAAACAAAGAACAAGAGCAGAAGACGGAAGACGGATCGATGGTTGTGGTACGGATATGAGAGGGGACGCGACTTTTGTACCCCTATCCCTGTCTTGCATCTATTATGTGTACTGTGTACTGTGTACAGTCTCTGGTGGTGGATCTACTATCTACTGTGCGACTCTACTGTCCACTGTGTCCATAGTTACTGCGCATGTCTCTGAAGATGTCTCTGCTATGTTTCTCCAGTAGCGCATCTATCGGTGTGTCCGTGTTTGTTCAGTATCATGATCTTGTTATTGTTGTGGTGATAGTCACTTGTACCCCCCCCCCCGTAAGTAGTGCACCCCTCCCCCCCTCAACGCCAACGCCAACGCCAAACGTGAACTCATTTCGCATTTTAATCCACCCAAAGACTAAAGACTAGAGACCTGACCAGCCTGACCTTTACTTTACCTTAACCTTACCTTTATGATCGATTAATCTCTTTTCCCCTTCTCTTGATCCCATCCGCTCTCGTATCTTGCCACCAAGTAATTTACCCCATCTACTCTACTCTACTCCGTCTCCGTACTGGTATTACTCTTCTTACCGCATTTGCGACTCCGAACTCTCTCTGTTCCTTCCCTTCCTCTCGGAGGATCGATCACGCTTAGGCTCCGGTAGCTCTTCGTCCACTTGTCCCAGCCAACACGTACCCTCCTCCTCCTCCTATCCATCCACCGACCTATATCAGGGAAAAGAAAAAAAAAGGAAGACAATAAACATCCCATCCGGGTTGCCGTTACCGTTGCCGACCCATCGTAACCGATCGCCAGGCAATTCGTGTGCGGGTGTCTGCGCGCGCGTGGGAAAAGGCCCCAACACTCGCTCTGTCCACCACCACGTTGGTCGTTGCGCTGTTGTCCCCAGTCTAATCTTCCCAATCCCAATCCCAATTCTATCTTTGACATTTTCGTTCCCTTTTTTTTCTCGTCCCCGTTTCCATCTCGCCTCGATTGGAGAGAGCGAGAGGCGCGAGAGAGAAAACGAGAGCTATAGTGAACAAGGGTAGATTTCGAGACGGGAGTGTCGCCTAATTGTTCATCAGCCTCATATCAGCATCCCTCCATCCTCCATCCTCCTCCCTCCCTCTTCCCCTTCTCTCTGTCTATAACTCCACACTACTCCATAAGCGTAAATGTCCCGATGAGCAGCAGCGGTGCTTCCACCACGCCGCCCGTCAAAGAGACAATTCCATTCCCACTGCTGGAGTCTCCGTCGTTCCTTCCCAGTAATAACAAACAACAACAACCATCAAAACAAAAACAGGCTGCACCTTCCCTCCCTACTGATGTGGCAGCTGCAGCGGGAAAGCCAACAACACGAACATCCACGTCAACATCAACGTCAACGTCAACTCCCACACCCGCGCCCACGTCCACGTCCACATCCACCTCTATCACTCCAATAACAACCTCTTCTTCCACTCCAGAAACAGCAACGTCGACAACCTCCACGCCAACGTCTACGTCAACACCGCCTTTTCCACCAACAACCTCCTCTTCCTCGTCCTCCTTCCCCTCCTCCGTCGCTGCCTCCGCCGCCACCAAATTCTCTCCCCCTCCGCGATCCATCCAACAGCACAACCCCCCGCGCGAAGGACCCCCCAGGGTTGTTAGGAAAAACGTGTCCCCGGGCCTTCTGGCCCGCATGAAATTTCTGAACCAGAACCAGGACACCGCCCGATACGACCCCCAGATTGGCCGAATCTCCGAGGACAAGATCCGCGAGCTCGACGAGTTCCACCGCGACCGCAGCGTCAACGTCGAACGGCGAGGAACAGCCTGGAGCGGCATCGGTCCCGCGCCCTACCCAGGCAGCCAGGACGGCACGCCGCTGATACCGCAACACACGGGCGAGAGCGTCCCGGCGTTTGTCATGGACCAGAGCCCGCCGCCCGGCTTCGAGAGCGACAGGAGCAGCTTCGTGAGCACGAGCGATAGAGTCCTGCCATCCGATTCGGAGGCCAGCGTGCTCGGCGAGGATACGCAGAAATATCGTCTCCCTGACATCTCGCGCTCCAAGAGCCTCGGCCAGGCCATCGACGAGACTGCTTCTTCTACTGAGACGGAGCTCACTCGCGCCCCAACTCCGCCGCCAAAGGATACACCACCACTACCACAGCCCACTCCGCCGCCGGTGCAGGCGCCTCCAAAACCTGCAGAGCCTGAGCCAAAGTCGGAGCCAGAATTAGCACCAGAGCCAACGCCAGTACCACAGTCGGCGCCGCAGCCAGAGGCAAAGGAGGAGGTTTCCGTGTTGGACGATAACGATGGCATTGATGTCGCGGCATACTTCCACCGCAGGCAATTCTCCAGGGCCAATTCGATCTACACACTGTCAAGGGCCAGCTTCACCAATCAGCTGCAGCAGCTAACGTCGATAACCCTTCCCCCGGCCGCGTCCCTCTCGTCCAGCATCTCTGCTATTCCCACCTCGACGGCCGCCGGTCGGGCGTTGCACGATGCTGCGAATCAAATCAAGCTGTGGATGGCCAAGGCCACTGAGGTATTGAACGGTCTGGATGCTGAAGACGATGTGGAATGGGCGGCAGCAGCTGGCAGAGAAGGACTGGCAGAGGTCGACGTCGCCATTGGAAAGTTCGAGGGCCTGGTCACCGTATACATCACTGCCATTGAGGACTTGCAATCGCGCCCTGACATAGCGGCGCTTCCTGCAAAGGATTTAGTACGACTTGTCACCCAGATGGAAGAGGTGGTCGCCGGTTGGACGCAGATCAAGAAAACTCTGAAGGACATCAAGAGACAGGTCGAAATCGCCATGGAGTGGGAAGAGCTGTGGAACTCGGTTCTGGGAGAGATTGGTCAAGAGGTGGAGAACCTGAGCAGATTGGTCTTTGAGATGGAAGAACGGCGCCACCGTGCCATCTCCGACTCTGTCGCCGAGTCGGCAGAGAAGTTCGACATCGCCGAACTCGAGACGATCGTGGAGGAAACTCCTCGCCATCCCGTCAAGGACAACAAATTCGGTCTCCCCCCTCCGCCCGCGATCCTATCACCAACCTCTCCCATTCCCCAGATTGAGCAAGAGAACTCGCGCCTGCTCGCTCTGTTCGCCAAGCTACAGCCACTCCGTGCCTCCCTCGATTTCCTGCCGATGCGCCTGTCCTCCTTCCACCTCCGTGCTAGCAAGATCTTCCCTTCCGCCTGTGATGAACTGATGAGGAGAAAGGATGTCTTGGAGAAGCTAGAGAAGAAATTGGAGGCAGACGCCGATGCATTGCGGGAAGAGCTCGGTGAGGATAAGTGGGTGCACAGTTTCCGCCAGGCAGGCAGCAAGGCGGTAGCGATGTATGATTCTCTGATGAAGAGTATCCAGCGACTGCGGCAGGCTATCGACGACAATGACGAAGAGAAGTTGAGCTCGCGCATCGCCACGTACAAAGACAAGAGGGAGCACTACCCTCCGTCCATGAAGCGCGTCTTGGAACTGATCGACATTGAGATGAAGCATCGTTCGACCGTAAATGGAGAGATTCTGCGAATCCAAGAGGACGTCCGACAGAAAATGGTCGACCAGGAAAGCGAGATCAAGGAAATGAATATGATTCTGGACGAGTTCACCGCCACCCGCAAGCTCCGCGATTCCGTCTCCACAGTCATTTCCACCCGTACCGAGGCATCGATTGCTGGCTCCCTGCTCGACACCCCCAACAGCTCACCAGCATCTTCTGTCATCCTGACGGGTCGCAAGAGTGGCGAATATGGGACCACCACGCCGGTCGGGAAGAAGTCGCGGCAGCCGAGTGCGTCAAGCTCGAGGTCATCGATCCCAAGCAGCCGCCGACACTCCGCTCTACCGACCTCCAGCAGCGTCCCCCGGAAGGCAATGACCACCTCTCGTTTGGAGCATTTCTCTACCACACCTTCTCGAGCCATGTCCGGCACCCTTTCCAGCCAGATGCGCTCAGTTACCCCAACGGACAAGAGACCGTTGGTCAAGCCGCCGTGGAATCCTAGTGTGAACATGCGGGACACGATCGTAGGACACAACTTCAAGCCAAACTCTTTGACCACCCCTTCGCCCCATCGGAGTGGGACACCAAACTCGTCTCGATCTCTGAGGAGCGTTTCGAGCCATTCTTCGATTCCAGTTCGCAGCCCCCTCAGCCGTTCCTCGGCTGCCCTGTCCCCTCCTCCACATGGTGCCAGACCTGCATCAACGACTCCAGCGCAGTCTGCTATGAAACGTCCCACGGCAAGCACGATTCAATCGCCCTCGACTCCCGCCCGTGGCAAGACCCCAGGCAGGTCCACTCCGGCCTCGTCATCTCGGCTATCGATTAGCACACCGACGTCGGCGCGTCAAGTGGCACATCAGGATGGCGAGGATGCAAATGAGGATAGTCCCAGTGTCCGTCGCCAGAGCCGTCCACCGAGTGCTGCCAACAGCCGCCGTGTCAGCCTACTTCCAACCCCACAACAACAACGCACCACCACTACCCCGCCGAAGCCAACCTCCGCTCGAACCCACAGCCGGCTCGGCAGCATAGATGAAGGACGCAAGAGCCGCCAAAGCAGGCCGAGTCTTGAGGCCGGGCGCCTGAGCAGAATTGGAGGGCGCATTTCCAGTCTCGGACAAACCGACGACAAACCCAAATGGCGGGGTTAGAAATCCTGCTCCCGTTTTGACCACGCTGGCTGGACGATCTCCACGATGACGACCATTGGACCCTCGCTCTATCTATTCTCGTAGTCTCACGGACATGGAGAGCTGCGTCTGATGATATGATGGAACAGCATTTTCGACGATCAAGCGTTGCGCAGCGTGTTTCGTCATTCAATAATCGTTCTAACCCCACCACTTCTTTTAATATACCATGCCTTCGACTGTAAGAGTTTGACACTCTTTCTTAATCTTTACACAACTCCCCTCTGCGCGCGCGGAAATTAGTCTGCTAATTTTTCCGCTGTCCGTCTCCTGTTATTCCAAGGAGCTTTCTGTTGGTGTGCTTTCCACAAGTCACATAGACATGGCACGGCGTTTGTCTGTCTTGGTCCGGTTTGTTTTTTTAATTTGGAGAAGGGTGTTTCGAAATCTGCTGCTTGCATGCACAGTTGGTACACCCTTTGTAAACTGTAGAAGTATCATCCTATACCCAGGCGTTTTGTGGCGATTTTCTCTTTGGTATCATGGGTATTTCAGCGTTCATTCGGGTGCGCCCTGAGTGGAAAGAGAGGAGGCAAGCAAATAGTCCTTCTAGGGGACGTCGACTTGCACTCAACGCTCTAGACTCTAAGCTTTGTGGATGCAACAGAGATTGCTTTGGCTGGTTTTGCGACAGAGGAGAGGAGACATAGAATCACTAGTCAAGCTAGATAAGTGGATGTAGCTGAGTACATAGTTTGCTAAATTGAAATGCGGAAGAAGAACAACTCAGTCTCAATATCTGTCACATCTGTGTCTGCAGTTTTGCCTCACGCTGCTGAATGATAGAATATGTTCGGTCGTGAAGACATTGTTATTGTTGTCCGAATTGCTCGAACTCCTTTTCCCCCACAATTAACCAATATCACTCTATCCAACCCACCCTACATCTCCGAACCCAATTGAACCATCTACGCTGTTGAAACAATACGAACGACAAAGTCCCGATTGAACAAATGAAAGTCTATATTGGTCTCCATCTCTGTCTCTCAGAGGAAATCACAATCAAGCGGACTCACTGCGGGTAACGTAGACAGCGTCTTAAACCCCACTCCGCACCTCTCTCTCATTTTGTCCTCGAAAGGGTTGATGTCAGAGCAAATGAAATTCTGACGGAGAAGGAGGAGATGTGTTCTGCATACCTAAACACCTAAACAGACGAGTGTCTCATATGATCTTTTCTTTCCATGGTCTAGGATGAGCGTGCGGTGGTGGTGGCCGTATGGTCATTTCTCTCTGTGTGGTAACCTCCCATGATAGCTATGCATTCCAGGACGAGGTGGTGCGGGATATTTCATGCGTGTGTACAAACGGAGGAGGGGAAGCTGTACCAGTAGGATAGGGAGGATTGGCATATCGTGGAGACAGGTGTCTCTATGGAACGGGAGGGCGATGGGGATGTTCAGTGGCTATGGGATTATTGGTGGAGTTGGTTGGTTGTTGTTGTAATCGAAGGGTTGAGAGTGATGGTTGTTCACGCTCGGCGTTCGTGGACCGCCGTTCGACGTAGGAAGATGTAAAGAAGATGTATTGATGTTTGAGTTCATTGTTGATGTTGATGGAATGAGATGTTTCTTACTCTTCGTACATATACCTCTAGTTTCTTTGTGTTTCCCTGACCTCAAGAACGTAAATGCCAAATCCCCGGTTTGATTGAGAGATCATGGCAACAAGGCACAGTTCACTCGTGTCTGATATCAACATATCAGTCCCTAGATTGGTTTGATTCAAAATCGAATTGTCATTGCATGTTCTACAGATTTGCTGCCGCTGCCGCTGCTGCTACAACGGAGGTCAGCCCAGCCCAGCCATCTCCACAAACTTTCATACTTTGTGATATTTACAGTACCCGTCCGTTTCCATTTCGTTTTCCATCTCAACGTCCGACAGCTTCAACCAAACCACCTTCTCCGACTATAGCTGACCGTCCTTCCTCAATGTCTCGTTGCCCCACGGCTCGCTCGTCAAGCTCGTCAGTCCGGTGGCGGGCTCGCAGCTCTTCCTGCCGCTCAACGGGCCCGGTGTTGGCACCTTCAAACCGGCCGCCTCGTAGGCCCTTCCTTGCTCGCTGGACACCGGCAAGTCTCCAGTGATGTGGCCGGTGCCGACGTGGCCAGCCGAGCCCACCTCGCCAGGCTTCGCGCCGGTCTTCTCCGCAGCGAACTGCAGCGCCTTGAGGAGATCAACCGTCGACTCGTAGGTCAAGTCCTCGTAGAAGTCGTCGTTGATCTGGACCATGGGTGCATTGGCGCACGCACCGAGACACTCGACCTCGGTGAATGTGAAAAGTCCGTCCTTGGTGGTCTGGCCGTGGTGGATGCCCAAATGGTCCTCGACGGCCTTCATCACCGCATCGCTGTCCCTCAACATGCAGGGGGTGGTCGTGCAGACCTGGACGTGGAACCGGCCGACGGGCACGCGGTTGTACATGGTGTAGAAGGTGGCGACCTCGTAGACGCGCATCGGGGGCATCTCGAGCAGCCGGGCGACCTCGTTCATGACGCTGATGGAGGTGAAGCCGTGCTGGCGCTGGCCGAGGTCGAGGATCGGCATCACGGCCGCCTTCTTGTACTGCGAGGGGTAGCGCGAGAGGATTTCCTGGATGAGTTGCTCGTTCTGCGGTGTGAATTTGAAGGGGATCGACGGGTTGTTCTCGGGCGAGTCGCGGTGCTACAGCGTACGTATCAGTATCGGAGTAGAGGCAATGGAATCAATAGATATGCCAATGGCATTGGGAAACGCCAATGGTGGGTGGGAAACTCTGGAGAGGAGGGTGCGAATGTACATACCACCTGGAGGGAGTCGCTGCGCCTGACGGGCGTGGTGCTGAGCGGCCGGCAGTGCCATTGCTGCTGCTGGAGCTGTCGCAGGGCTCGAGGAGCTCGCCGGAAGGCAGATGGCAGGATTCGAGACGCCATGGCGGGGGTGTGCGGCGGTTTGGTGGGTTGGGATGGGGAGTTGGTGACGACGATGGAAGTTGAAGATGTCCAGGCGATGCTGCCGCGGATTTGCTTCGGTACATCGGCCAATCACAGCCCAGAGACATAAGCCGCCAAAGATGCGTCGTGAGCGGTCCTTTTGCAAGCACCATCCCCTCGATGAGATTGGAATTACACTTAAACAGCTCAGTCATGAATTTCTTTCATCAATTCAGATCTGTAGTTGTTGGTAAATCCATTATTTCTCCAAGGTCGGTGGCCTTTGGCTTGCACTTCGTACACGATGCGTGGCGCTGTTATCTGTGGAAATCGATGCCATCTGATTGGCTGATAATGAGTGCGCGAGAGTGGATGTAAACGATATTTATTAACCCTGAGGGTATGAACCATGAAATCAAATATTTACACCTTCCATACACCATCAACGTATGTAACCAGTGCTATAAACGCCATACCGTGACTCATTTACAATCGTCATCCATGCTAACAGAGAACCTATAACATGCAAAAAAGAAAACAGAGAAGTAGGAGGAAAAGCGTGTTCTTGAGAATGGAAGAAGAGTATATATCTATTGCCATTAATATATCAATCGATTACCCTGCGATCATAGGGTGAAGAAGACTGCGACGGCTAGCGCAACGACAAAGCTGACTGTGGCACTGCCCTCCAACTTTCCTCCAGCGCCATGGATGCCCAGGACCTCGTCCTGGATGCCGAAAGTGACGTTTTGTGGAATGGACTCGTTCAGACACTGCCCGTTTGCGATATCCAATCCACTCAGATCATCGGGCACCTTGAAGAACATGTAACTCTTGTTGTTCAATCCCTCGAATTTACTGGTATCGTACGGGAACTTGTCCTCCTCGTCCGTGGCCGAGGTGTTGCGCAGGAAAATGCATTGGACCTGTTCCGGGAAGTCATGGGCGAGTGTGGGGTAATCCTTCATGATATCCGAGTTGGAAGTATCGGCAATAAGGACGAACTTTCGCTTCGGGAATGTTTCGAATATCTTGGTGAGAAGGTACTGACGAATCGACAGCGTAGCTGACACATCGGAGAAGTTGAGGGGCCGAGTATCGAAGGAACCACCGGGATAGGTCTTGTAGATGAAATCCATATATAGCCGTGTAGCCTGTTCGGGTGTAGTCGTCAGGTAATGGAAATGGGTGCTGTTCGGAAGTGTCTTCGACCAATTGGCGTATATATCCGGCATGTTCATCCATTGTGTGAACGGCCTTGCAAAGGAGTTGAGCAATCCCTCCTTTGGCTGGTAGATCTTTGTAACGCGAAGAATGTCATCGATATCGGAGATGAAGGTGATGCCCTCGGGAGGAACAAGGAATGCCGTCGCATTGCCGGTGAGCGTGCCATTGGTATACACATTCAACCGCTGGACGCTGTCCGTTTGGTCGGGGCTCAGCAGACCGCCGCCAGACACATTCTGGATCTTGACGAACGCGTCGAAGTCGCCTAGGTCAGTCGTCTCATAGGGAAACGTGATGTTTTGAGAACCGCCTGGGGGCGTGATAGCTCCTCCGCCACCTGGTTCACCAGAGGAACCCTGGGACGGCGCGGGTTCCAGATGGAACGATACATTTTGATCGCCTTGCTGTACGATGAAGATTGACTTTGTCAAATTCCGGGCTTGCGCTTGCTCATTCGGTGGGAGATCCTTAATGTCCGTATCAATTAGGAAGACGTTGGCCAGGTCGTCTACCTTCTCTTGAGAGATGTTGGGTGTCTTGTATACGTTGCCGTGAAACCGAACGTTCCACGCATCGCCGGTCCAATTGGCATAGGGAGGTATGTTCAGTACTTCGGTCGGTGCCGCATCGAGATCTTCATCCTTGATGCCGAGAGAGCTTTTCACTTGATCACCTGTGGGGAAATTTTGGAAGAAGTTTGGAACGCCTAGCCGCGGTCAGTTACAATGGGCCCAGCAAGTTGGAGTCGGAATTCGCAGCATACCTGATATGACATAGGAAGGCAGATCCTGTCCAATTACACTTCCCAAGGAATGTAGAAAGTTATCAGCTCCGGAGGCAATGTCGGAGATGATGTTCCTCCGGTCGTACATGTAAGAATGGCTTCCGTCGAAGCGGATGGCGGCTGGAGTGACAACAGGTGCTCGAACCTCGACACTATCCGGCACAGCGGTAGGCTCGGGAATCGCGACAGCATTGACGGATACGATCACGCTCGATACCAGCGCAAGCTTTGTGGACAGCGTTCGCAAAGACGCCATGGTTGAATGTACGGTAAGAGGTTGGAACCAGGCACGAATTGCGGAGGAAGAAGAGGCGACAGAGGAAGAGAAACTGATGCGCGCAAGCACCACGGTGCCTTTTTACGGTGGGACAGTGGCTGACGCCGTTAGTTCTTGTTTTTTGTTGGTTACCTCTGTGCCTGTATTGTTGCTCTGCCCAGTTTTCCTCTCGATTCGATGGTTAATTAAAGCTTGTCGCGTCGCCATATGAAACCTGCAGGTACCATTCACTCTCCTACGTCATATACAGGGCTAGTCTTACATAGGACTAGCGTCTCACTGCCACCAACAAGCTTTTTATTAGAGTTTGACCCAACAGCTTCAAAGGAACAAGACATTCATTAAAGGATAGAACTATCCTTCCAATTCCCATTAATGTGAAAGTTGAGATCTATTAAACATTGGTATTCTTGGGCCATGCCATGTTTTGTTAAAAGTATGATGGAGATAGATACGTGCATGATTTCTCACATCTCGGAGCAGGAAACTCCAATTGGCTGAATCCTGGTCGCCGATCCCCGGGGCAGGCCGCGATGCGTGACGTATATCCCGCTAGAATGGGGATCCTCAATGATAAGACATCAATTAAGCATCCCCTGTCTCGTGTATTCGATTGCAAGTGCGAGATCCTCTGTATACCTACATTACCCACCTTTTGGCAGATATAGAAAGTTGCTCACGCCGGTCGTGTCTTGTCGCGTCGCTTGCTCATCACACACAAGTGGCTGGCGCGTTAGTCGATATGCTTGAAGTTGATCTTTTGCGCGTTCACGACTTCTTTGAAAGCTATGTATTATGTTGCACACGCTGTTCCTATGAAATTAAGTTGGACGCATTCGACTTTCGAGTACGCCAATTGTCAGGTGTTTGGACAATGAAAGTAGGTCTATGACGAGTACAATATGCATACTGGATTTGGGACACTGGATGATTGAACGATATCAATGATTTTGATCTTTAAACTCCGAGCTATGGTAGTACATTATTAAGCGCTAAAAGCACGTGAAAAGCCAACACCATGTTAGTTTTCCGTGTCGATGCAGTCTATATTCATTTCTTTCCTTTGAACTTCAGTTTGACTTCCACCCAATTTCACCGAATGGTTTATACTGTCATGTGTTCCATGTTTCGCGACTCATCAGCGCCTCCCTGCTCAGCCTTGCTCCAGCTCCTGCCGCCAGGGCCGACATGCAGACGATCTGTGTTGACAAGACCATCTTGCTGCAATGAGTCCGCCTGCCATTTGGCGCTGGTGATTGGGTTGACGTGGAGGATGTACATCGTGTCAATCTCCTCGAGGGATCGGCCCTTTGTCTCGATCATGAAGAAGTAGACGACGAAGAAAAGGACGAAACAGCAGCCGCCAAAGACAAGACCGTAGAAGTAGTCGATGTTATCCGTAATCATTGTGCTGAAGAAAGAGATCAGGAAGTTGAACAACCAGTTGGATGCAGTTGCAAGTGCCATGCAAGTAGCACGGTAACGTGCGGGGTACAGCTCTCCAACAATGGCCCATACAAGAGGTCCCCAAGTCGTAGCGAAGGCAGCGATGAAGAGACAGGTGAAGACGATCATGATGTTACCGGCCTGCGGTGTTGCCTGAGGGTTGCTGTGGTTGAGCTGGTACTGTCCTACGAAGGAGTAGATGAACAAGCACATGAACATCCAGGCAGCACCTGCCATCATTGCCTTTCTTCTACCGACATTTTCGACGATCCAAAGTCCAACAATGGTAGCCGCGACATTCACGGTGCCGAGGATGATGGAAGTGACGTAGCTGTTCTCTAGTCCGGTCGCGGAAAAGATGGTGGTTCCGTAGTAGAAGAAGTAGTTTGCGCCCGTCAATTGCTGGCCAGCCTGTAACACCATACCTAGGAGTGTGCGATAGAGCATGCGGGGACCGGTGAAGATCTCGTACCAGGGATGCTCTCCTCCGGCATTCTCGGCTTCAAGCTTGTCTTGTATTTCCTTAATCTCGGCATCGATCAATGGAGATGATTCGGGAACGCCGTTCAGACGAGCCATATTGCGACGTGCTTCTTCGATTCGACCCTTGCGGTAGGCAAAACGGGGAGATTCTGGGAGCAAAAGGATGGCCGATCCCAAGAGAATGGCCCAGAGCGCCGAAAGACCGTTGGGAATTCGCCATTGGGCGCTGTTGCTATAGTCCTTCCTCGTTCCATAGTTGATCATGTATGCAGTCCAAATTCCTAGCGTAATGAACAGCTGGTAGGACGAGACTGTGGCTCCACGAATTCGTTTGGGGATGGACTCCGACTGATACATCGGGACTACGGTAGACAAGGCACCGATACCAAGACCAGCTGTGAACCGACCCATCGCAAACTGAGCCCATACCGTCTTGCTGGTGATTTCGATGATGACGCCGATGATGTAGAAGAACGCAGAGCCAGAGATGGTAAGACGACGACCGAAGGTATCCGCTAGAGGAGCAGAGGAAAGACATCCGATCATTGTGCCAATACTACAAAAACTTAGTTCAATGACGCTTACAAGTTGATGAAGGAAGTCTTACGCGAGGAGACCAACAATCGTTCCCTGGCGAACAGCTGAGAACTCGCCATTGTCTCCAAAACGCTCAATGAAGTCGGGCATCGCGAGGAAACCTATGTTAATCATGATTAGCAACGGTGTTTTCTTTGGAGACATCAGAAACATACCCGATATTTGACCAGACTCATAACCAAACATGAATCCTCCAACACTCGCAACTGCTCCAAGAATGACGGAGATTGCTGGGACGCGTCCCTGGACGGGAGGAGATACATCGGCAAGAGAATTGTTCTTCAGCGGAGTGTGAGCTGGAGTCGTGTTGGACGATGTTGCCTTTTCGGGCACATCCTCATCAGTTCTTTTCTTAAAGAACTTCATTATTGGTGATTAAAAGTAATATGTGGATAATGTAGTGAGAAGAATTATTGTTCTTGAATGAACTGGAAATCTATTCGAGGTGGATCAGTGGGCAGTATAAAAACCAGCAGACTGTGGTAGGCTAAGCTTCATTCTGGTGCCAAACCACTCACCCGACTGTGGGTCAAATGAATGATGATGTTAATGGTCTCGTTGAAATCCGGCATGCTGTTATTTCACGTCACGTTATAAATCCGATCGACCTTCCCAACTCGAAGACAGATTGCCTGGAGTAGATCATGGCAACATTTATGTCAATCTTCTTCCCAAATCCCTTCTTTCAATGCTAGTTGTCGTCTTTCCAGTAGTGTGGATGTTTGTTTCCAATCCAAAGTGTCCTTATCTTTGCTTCAGTCATAACCGCCCTTTGGTCCTGGCCGTTCTTGGCCGGACAAAAATGCATAGTGACGCCAGCACAACCATTCGTACGAGGTAGGGAAAGCAGGTCGACAGACTCGGTCGGAACGAATCTCGGAAATCTTTTCAAACTGAAGTGCACATGCGCGAAAATTTGTTGAGTATCATATCTTTTGTCAAGGTTCATCGAGTAAAGCTTTGACTGATCTCCATTGTAAAAACAGGAGCCCGGTGGGGCCGGCCGACAGAGCCGCACTAGCAATGTTGAAGCCAAACGCTTTTCTCTCCTAGTCTATGCACGTCCCATTTATCACGTTATGATGAGGATTCTATTAGTGCGAGGGCAAAGAATGAAAACTTTGATTGTCGTAACGTGATATCTCATGTTTTTGAACAACAATGGTAATGATAACATTAACAGGCCAGGCATGCGCTAATACCGTTCAAATCTGGCACGACGTGACGACACACTGCATTCCAACATTTATCCCAAGCACACTCAAAATCTACGTTCATGGAGAAAGGATATTTTGTTCACGAACCAGCTTGATCATGGATGAGTATTAAGGACAATCTTCTGTAGTAATGAGAAAAAAAACAATTGCACCACAAAGCATAACGACTGTGGAATATTTCTTCGATAATATCCAGCGTCTCATTCCAATTGAATCGTGCGTTTGGTAATGCGCTCTGAAGTCCTGGCCCTATCTGAGTCAGTGCTCACGCCTCCAAGGTGACCATGTAGGACAATCTTGAAGTCATATTGATTGTCTAGGTTTTTATCGACCAAATCGCTGATTGATTGCTACAGGAGCGAGATTCATGCTGATAATTACCAGTTCTGACTAGAGTTGGTGCGAGCCATTGTCCGGTATTTGGACATTGTCTTTCGATACAGTAGGATTTGTAATCGGACTTAACGGAAAAGACAGTACGCACAGGACCATCTACAGATTTTCTGACCGTACTATTGAGCAAGTGAAGCTTGTGTACTTTGTCTTTGTATTAGATATTTGTTGATCTTAATTAGATGTTCCTCTACTAAATCTAATTTATTTTTCTTGTAATAATATCTAGCAGGCCTAGTAAGTAATAGTGATAGTACTTCAGGTTCTTGACCTTACTTCCTCTATTTAATCATTAATCGACGTTTAGTTGCTAATTCGTGTCTGTTTTCTACTCCGACTACGATTGGTTGCCCTGACGATTAACCCATGCATTTGAAAACTTTACAGGCTCTCCTAGTAGGTTGGCATTTAGCATGATTCCTTAATCCCTCTACCCAATTAATAAATTATAAAACAGAGGCAGGGGATTAGGTCACTGATTCTTATTTTCTAGCATGCCATTATGAAGGTGACTCTGAATTTAATAATCGGCATACTCCTCTCCATTGGCCCAACATCTTAGGGGCACTTTCACGGGAAAGCAATGCTCCGAAAAGGAGGCTCTGCGCCCTACGAAGAATTCCCCCAGGAGTTGACGATTTCCTTTCAGAGAAAAGCTGCGAGGAGAAAAAAGACTCCTGGGAGAGTTAGACCTCCAGGAGAGAGGGGTTACAAGGGGCGGAAAGCTTTGGAGAGGAGCCTTTAGAGGAGGGAAAAGCAGTCAAGTGGTGCTAATGTGGGAGAATAAACGTATAGTGCTATTCCAGGCGTCGCAGGGCTTACGTGGAATCTTACTATGTCGCGATGGATTCTGCCAAATGTTCAGCCACTAATCTTGGAGTAGGTCGAGTGCTGTAAATCCTTTCTCTGGTTCGCATCAAAACCACGAGGTTCTCTTTGTTCCTGCCTTCGAGATCTACCCCCACATCCCCCAGGGTGTATTCAGAATACTCGCGAACCCCTTCATTGGGCTAGTTGGACTATATTAATAATGGTCTCGACCAAGTTGGAGCAAACATACCATTGTGGTTCCAGTACGCTAGTGTCTCATCCGATCGATGCAAGAAGTGACTAGGAGGCGGACCGAGCAAGGCAATCATCTCCCCTAGCATTCGGGCGTTGGAAATTTCCGGTCACTGCTACAAGGGTGAAACATATGCTTGCCTTCGAATAGATCTTGGTGTTTGTTAGAATATCGGTGAAATCCAGGTTGCTCAGCGCACCAAGACCCCAACATTCCAGATATCAGGCGCAGAGATCCATGGCATGCAAAGCATCACTTCAGGGGCGCGGTAGGCTTCGAGCTGAATGAAATTCTCGTGCTGAATGCCAATCCGAGCCATGTCCAGACCTGTGACCATGCATCTTCCAATTCCTCTCATGTCTCGCTGTAGGTTAAACTCACGAGACTTATAGATGACGCAGTTTCCGTCCACTTTGCGCGGAGCTGGTTCGTCAATCTCGGACTTCTCTCATTATTCAAAGACGGACGAGTCGGAGGAACTGAGCATGATATTTTTTGCTTGGAGATCTGCCGCTTGCGTGAGTAACTCGAAAAAAACATGAGGGATCCAAAGTCGCTATCTGTATACAACCTTTGCGTTGCTGTGAAGATGATCAAGACCTGCAAACATCTAATGGAGTGATGTCTTGAGAATATCCTCGGTGAGACTCTTCGGGTTCAAATTCTGCTTAAGATCATGTAGGGTTGCTAGGAGGGACTCCATGGCCAAGCATTGATGCGTGCCTTCTCGTCCTCGAATTACAAAAGAGTCTAAGAGGGCTCTCACAAAGTGAGCCCCAGCATGCGACGATTGGGTGACGGCAAGATGCCTTAGCACCTCGAACTCCCGGCTAGGTTTTGGCGACGAGATGCAGACCTTAAGAGCAACGTGTTGGTGTTACCTATGCAAGTTTAGCAACTGATTATTCCTTGGGGAAAAGGACCACTTCATGCTTTAGGTGACGGCAGAACCAGGCGGTTGAATTAGAGCCGAATCCAAGATTCCCAAACACCCGGTAGCGGTCTTCAAAAACCTCTCCAATGCGAACTGGGTAGAAATCTGATGGGTCATAGTGCGGCAATCGCTGCTCTTTGACTTTTGTCGCAGAATCAATTGTTCAAAAACTGGAGGTTGAAATACGATGAAGAGGCGACGGCGAGCGACGGCGGAAGGCAGAAATGTTCCTGAAGAACGCTTTCATCAATGACACTCTACGCGAAGCAGATTGATTTAAATTTCTGCTCTTAATGGCGATATCTCACGCGTCTGAAATAGGGTGGGAGAGACGTACTTGTAGCGAGGTTGGATGCATGAGTCTCATCTTCAAGCGATTTATTTCCTGGGTCGGCAAGGTGTCACCATAAGATGATGAACAGTGTCGTCAAAGTCGCTCAAGGGCTAGATGCTGAGGTATGAATGCCATTATTCGTTTTCATTCTCACTGATATGGCTTGCATACAAAGAGCTCTTCGATATGATCAACATAACGACCAATGCTTAGTCCCGACAACTCGGCAGCCTCGCCCGATAGACTGGCTTTGAAACTTGTTTCGCCCATAGATCATCGTGGAAACAGAGCTGCTAGGTTGGTTGGCTCGCTTTGGTCTCTCGGATTGTGATGTTTCTTCACTTCTGCATGGGTTGTACACAAAGGCTGAAAATCTTACTGTAAGAGGTTACAAGGGTTCCATAGCACCGGTACATCAAATTAGTAGTTCTATTAAGACACTAAAGGCAGCTTACATCAATCCCTGTATTCCGTACTATAGATTCTATATAGCTTCAAAGATCCAAACATGAACATCCAATACACTCCATGCTGAAAGAATCACAAGGAGCATAGCTTGGAATCTATGACAAGTAGTCCGTGACCGTGAAAACTTTCAAGCAGTTTGGAGTACTGCGTACTCTGTACAACTCGGTGTCGGAATTACTCAGAATATAATTTGTGTTTAGCTCTCCATTGAACCCACGCTCACGGTACTGCAAAATAGCCTAATCTACATCCTAGCTCACTGGTTGCGAATCAAGGACTGAGGCGAGGCAAGGGAGGGGCGAGAAATGTTTTGGACTGTTGTAAAAAGGCAACCGATAATCTTTTGTATGACATGTAGCACCGTTGCCACTAGGCACTCGGATATTCGTAACGTCGCCAATAATGTGATTGGAATCCGCCGGCGACCCCGAATGCATCAGCCATTTACGGAATGCCGTCGACGCACATCTAAAATGGTTGAAAGAAACCGGTGAGCAGAGCAGTCTTTCGGGTTTGACTTCCGTAAACATTATGCAGAATATCTTGATTGCTTTCAGAGTATTTAGACTCTACCTCCGCCTATTCTTCACCCAGCAAGACCTATCCGAGTACGAATTTCAGAATACTTATCTTTCCATTGAAAAGACAGAAGGATTCACACTTATTGGTACAGAGCTGTATTATTAAAGTCTGTAATGGCATGCTCAGAGTTGCAAGATGTACGAGAAGGGGTGCATGCTAGAGGGTAATTATGCTTGTTTACTTTTTCGAAATCTTTCACAATTCAGGTTACTCGAACGTTCTACTAAATTATCAAAGTCCCAAGAGCCATCACTGCATGAAAACAACAAACATGAACCTTGACAGACGCTACTTAGGACAACGTTCCAATATCTCGACGTATTATGCCGTCAATCGATACGCTTGCTCGATCTCAAATACGGACATGGAGATGAAGTCCTTCATTTTAATCTCCGAACATACTCCTTTCATACTCACCCAGACTACATCGCTTTGTCATACACATGGGGTGATCCCAAGGTCACGGTTCCTGTCCTATGCGACGGAAAGATTATCAACATTACGGGGAATCTGAAAGAGGCTCTCTGGCAACTCAGAGAGAACCGCAAGGGCATTGCCAGAAGGAGTTACCCGAAAAAACACCCATCGCATCATTTGTACTATTGGATCGATGCTGTTTGCATAAACCAATCTGACGAGGTTGAGAAAAGCTGCCAAGTTGGATTGATGGCAGGCATATACCGACGAGCGTATAAGACAATCGTATGGCTAGGGCCACCAGATGCCAACAGTGATATGGTTGTAGACTGCCTCAATACGTTAGGAGCAAAGGCAGAAGCTTGTTACATGCACAATGGCCCTGAACCATACCGCAAAATTTGGTTGAGGATGGTAAAAATGGCTTCGATGAAGCAGGGACAAAGTCTTCCAGGTACCACTATTGTGCACGCTAGAGGAAACAAAGAAAGAGTACCCCCAGATCCAATCCAAAGCCTCTTCCATTGCATAAGTGGCTGGTACGACCAGAACGACCTTCTACCAATTGCTGAGTTGAAACAATTTTTTACTCGACCATGGTGGGGAAGGATGTGGGTTCTACAGGAAGTTACCCTACCAGAAAACCTAGATCTTCTTTGTGGAACTAAAACTATAACGAGACGCCGGTGTAGCGCAGTCATCAATGCATACGCTGCGTTATGGCGTGTTTTGATTGCGAAATTTACATCCGAGCCAGAATCGACAACACCGTACCAGATTGAGATTATGCGGAACATATTTCACCATCGTCCCCATATCATGTTATCATCCAGGAGAATTTATACCTACAACAGATTTCCATTAGCAGCTTTGCTCCGTGCAACATGCGTGGGCAGAATCAATCTCGATCGCCATGCATCACACTACTTGGATGCAACAGACCCCGGGATAAGATCTTTGCATTAATCGGCCTGGCAGCAGATCAAAACGAGTTGCAAGACCTGGGAGTTTTTCCGGATTATACAAAATCATATGAACAGGTATAAGCATTAACAATGTCTGCCTTACTTCAGCAAGGATATATTTCATTCCTTTCGATGTGTCAACCCCCTAGGTCTGCAAAATTGCCATCTTGGGTCCCGGATTGGTCTCAACCTGTGACAGACATGCTGCAAGGCGTACAAGACGACCATCGTACCCCAGATCCAACATTCAACGCGTCGAATGATCACACGACAAATGCCAAAGTCACCACGGTGAAGATAAACGGGACAATCGAAGGCATAGTACTATTGTGCCAAATCTACGACATCATACACGAGACTGGAAAATTTCCCGACAGAGCCCCTACTCACGATGTGCCACTTCGGGAGACAGACTCTTGGCCAGTTGAATGGCTGCTTGAGTTTCTTCGACTTTCATACTGTTGCAGAATGGATTACGGCAATTTCGATAATCGTCTAGGTGCAGCAGCTAGGGCTTCAATAGGCGGCGTTGAACACGGCCAAAATCCACAATTCGTGAGAATAGGGGAGGATCGTTTCATTGACGCTATAATTCTATTGTCCAAGGGTGTGAACCAGATTGAAAACAAACGTATCTTACACGAGGCACAACTCTTTTTGGCGAGCACAGTTGTCAAAGAAAGGTTGCAGGAAAATGCTGCATACAGTCTTCGTTTAGGCTCAGAAATCACCAGAAGGAGCTTGGGAAGACTCCCGTTTGTTACAAAGAAGGGACACCTGGCACTGAGCTCTTATCATGTTCAGCGTGGTGATGTGATTGCCTTGATCAAAGGTGCTCAAGTTCCATTCGTTCTTCGGTGTCAAAAGTCCGGAAAATATCGGATTATAAGTGAAGCTTATGTAGATGGAATCATGGATGGAGAAGCAGTGAGAAACGGAGAATATAGCTCTTTCGAGATTGTATAGTCCTGTAGAAGAGAGTCCAGATCTTTAGCAGCTTTTCCCAATGCGTCCTACTGTACTTAAAGTAGTATATCAACAAACTCTTCAGGTTTGACGTCTGCCCCAGGTCCTTGAGCGTGCCAGAAGTAGTTCTCTGACCACGATCTGACACGTACCTTCTCATCCTCGAGTATGAAAGAAGCCTACTAAGGTTCCCACAATGCGAGTCCTACAATGCGACGCTTAGATTACAGAAGAAAGGGGTCGTAGTACCTCAAGCAACCGGATAGGTCTTGAAACGAGAACAATATATATTGCCTCAGGATCTGCCCCACGCATTGTGGCAGATTGTACTTGGTACTATTGTCAACGTTATAGATTTAGGAATCAATCTGCCTATTTTAGGCACCAAAAAGTACACCCTAAGTACCGAGTAGATTTTAGGAGGGACTGCCATACTTTGAGAGGTCCAAGAAAGTCACTTCCTTTTACATCCTCGAGTAGTGGTGACAAAGAGTCTAGCAATGGGTGGGTCACCAAATCTCCCGACAAATATGTGTAGCTGGAGGTAAAAAGAGACGGCTGTCTGCACGTGGGTTTCAGGCGCTACTTTTCAAAAGAGGAAGAATCCAAGAGTCCTTGTTTCCATGGCCACGTTCGTTAATCGAATAACAGGATCGAAGGATGATTGCAGGGAAGTGAAGATTACCCACTAACAAGATGCGCGCATGGCGCTCGAAGGTGAACGTCTTATACTGCATACCTGGATGTGATAACAGTGAGGCGTAATGTTTGACCGCTGACTCTCTCTAGGAAAAGCTCGCCGCTGGATACTACTGCGCTGATGACTTCTGAACGGTTCACACAACGCGAATGGCCTGGCGGCGAATGTGCTCACTATGAAACAATCTCTTTTCTGAACGAATATTCTAACGTGAGTCTCGAGGACTTGAGACTGGGAGACTACCAACAAGGAAGATTAGGAGATCTGAGAATAAACAACAGCGGAAGCGCTACGTTCTCTTTAGCAGCTCCACGTAAAATGCCTGGGTTTAATTATATAACTACAGAAGAGCATTTAGAGCTGTATGTTTCTTTTCATCAAAAAGTGCAGGTCACTAAACATTTTAGACTTCACTAAACATTATAGACTCCGCGGCCCTGGTATCGAGATCTGTGTTGGCGTGTCATCCTCAAGTGCGCCTACAAGTACTGAGCTAGTCAAGCTCGTGCACGATTGGCTCTGTTATAGGAAGCACAACAGGTAGCTGAAACTGCAAGGCGTCTATCAGCAACGTGTTCAACCATGATTGAATAGCAAAGGAATGGCTGCATCTGATTTAGATCTAGCGCTGCTACTCCAGATCTTGCGCAGTTTAATATAAAGTCCATAAAGTCTGCGTAAGTACTAGCTCGATTCTCATATAGTAACTGTAAATCGTCATGACTCTCCAAAAGAAAATCTCAGCCTTGCTTGCCTTTGCACCTATGTGCATTGCGAAATTTCAGTATACCTACCATGGTATCGCTCTTGATGGAGTACAAGCCTGTATCGCGAACTCAGACTTCACGCCCATCAACATAACATTCGAGGGCAGCTGTAGACCTGCCTTCGAGTGTGTGATGCGAAACATTCCAAACCAAAGACAGAGCATCCTGTCTAGTGGATCTGCGATACTAGGATTTGTAGGTTCTACCGCAATGATGCAGTGTCATCTTCAAAACAAGGGCTAACTTTCGTAAGATACCTACAGTCCTCTTACTTCTTGGGAATACCAATGAAGATATAATTCGAATTAGCGCCCGATTTCCGTTCTTAGCTTTGTGTCTTAGCATCACCAACGTCAACAAGAAATCAGGGAGACACAGAAATGTGCCTGCTACGAGAAGCGGGCCATTTCCTCTAGGGCCATATGGTTTCGTTCCCGATTCGATGAGTACTCCTATATTGTGGGGCAATTATATTCCCGTAGTACTCGTGCATATTCTGGCTGCAACTGGTGCCACAGTTGTCGTTTGGCAAACTGTGGATTTAGGAAGAAAGGCTGTCGTTACTTGGGCATGTTGGACGGACCATTATCCAGTCATCTGGATTTGTCTCGCCGTGATACATCACCTGATAGCCGTTGTATTTCTACGAACAAGCCTTCGAATCTCAGGGAAATCACCGAGTGGAAAGGATCTAGTCCCTAGGTCCGGCTTATCGGTTTGGAATCTTGTGCAAGAAAACCGGGAGATTGAATTGGTACACAGAAAGCTTATGCGCTGGAGCAAGGCTTCTGCAGATTTGCTCAACAATCTCAACCTTTTATATGGTACGGCAGTATTGTCGAGTTTGACCCTGGTTTCTGGTCGCAACGCCATCATTGTGCTTACTGTCTACGGAACCATCGCAGCGTTTTCGCGTGCAATGGCCATGTGGGTTCTTGGAACATTGGATGAACTAGAATAGACAGCTGAAGAAGCTGCGACGGTGATCGTGGGATAAGGATCTTAAACCGTCTATCAGATCGGTGTGGCGCTAACTACTAAATGTAGATTCAATCTGGTTCGGAATACTGCAAAAATAGAGTTTTGGGGTTTTTTACATTCAGATGGTTTCAGCTGTTGGATCCAGTGTGAGTGTCACGGCAGCTACCTATATAGTTGCACTGTAGCGTGTAACGCTAAGCCCTTTACACCAGCATGCATAAGAATGAACAATTACTTGCCTCAGTCCATCGGAGCAGTCAAATCCCCTCTATTGATCGCCCATCCTACGGATGCGATATAGATACTGAAGCTTGATACTAATCACCGGATAGAACATGTTAAAGGATTCTGGAAGCCTGTATTAGTAGCCCCTTTGGCCCTTTCACATCACGAAGCTTTGCATAGTTTGACTTTCATTTGTAAAGATAGAGTGCCTACAGCAATAGCAAGGTCGTAACTTACTACTGATAGATATTAACAGTAGGCTATATTAATCTATCTTACCTGTAAGACTATAAGAGCTACTAGAGACATTTAATTAACCTGCACTAGGAAGTAAATATAAATTAAGGAATAGGCTATTATCCTCTATCTAATCTTTTTAGAGGAAACTAGGGATTAGCTGTGACAGTCACTGTACCTTGCTCTTGTTATCCTAACCTTACTTCCTTTACTATCCAATCATCTACCAGGCTAGCAATTTGCAGATTGTTTAACTCAACGTGCATGAAATGCCCATTACCTCTTATGCCAATGTCTGCAAGCTTAATCCACCCTGGTCTTCCACCAACTTGCTTCAGGTAATCGATGATACAATGTCCAAATGTGATATGGTTACTTCCCTCGCTTGTAATGCCTAAGTAGGGCACACTTGACACGTTTGGCAATCGACGTGCTGGCTCGGCTTGTCGATAGCAGGTTCGATGTTCAATCGTATCGTTGCCGATGGATTGTATCACGAGTTCTGTGTCTTCTGAGCATACTGTTCTACAAAAGGGCACTGAGCATGGAAGAGTTTGCGCACCTGATGCGTTTCTCGCTGGAGGATCATATGAAAGAGGCGAAAAAGTCAAGCCCCATGGGGACTGTGGCACACCACCCAAGCTGCCAACATTATATCTCCAGAACGGCGTAGTGGCTGCTTCCAAATTGATGCTACCTTTCACCAGGTGTGGGCAATCATTTGAGAGCAAAATCGGGTAGAATGAACCGAGGGAGTGGGATATTAGGAATGCCGGACTTCCCAGCAAACGTAACAGCTCACAACCGGAAGTGCGCATTGCAAGTTCTTGCTGAACAAAACTCGTAGTCCACGGAATCAAGGTCTTTTTAAATGCGTCAAAAGTGGGGTCGCCATTGTCGATACCGCTGCCCGGCCATTGGGTGTGCTTTATGGAAGAAGCGGTAAAGCCGGCTTGCGCAAGCTCTGCTGAGATTCCGGAGTTCATAGAATACTGGCTGAAATCATTTGCTGCACTACGGGCTCCGCTATACGCATCGACTAAGTAAACAGTATACCCTTTCTCGACAAAATAAGTTGCCCACCCCTTTCTATTCAGGCGTCAGCTGTGGTTCCAATGATTTCACCGTACGTACCTATTATCAGGTGTGTTCAACCATGATACTGCCGATGTTCCCCCGCCGTGAAAGAATACCAGAGGATGTGGTTGCAATGTTCTCCCTGGTGGCGAAAGCTTTTCGACGTAAATTTGATCTATGGTTACGTTTCCGAGTGCGGTCTGGATGTAACGACCACCGACATAGAAAGCATCACGTCTATACAGCGTTTCTTTTGATAAGCATCGAACACTCACAGCATTGACACCGTAACAATCAGGCGCAAAGGTTTCTGTGACAGAAATAGCCGCGAAACTAGAAATTACACACAGTGCAGCATGTATCTTCATCATGGATCAGTAAAAGGATATGCTAGAAGGTATGATAAAGAGTCAAGGAGTTATCAGGGTTAGGGTTTGACTAAGTCAGTTTAATAAGTACTTGCGCCGCAGACCAACAGTGCAAAAGCCCGTTTTCCTGTTTTGTCCAAACTCTGACCAAAATGAACATCTCGATTGAAGGATTGAAGTTACGGCCAGTCATAAATTAGCCTAAAAGCCGGTTTAGCTTGTGGCGTATTGATATGTAAGCATCATGCAGGTCTTGAGATCGAGGATCTACTGGTTGGTTCTCGGGAATAATCTAAAGTAGGGATCAAAAGGCAATCAAGGCAGAAGGCAACTACAACAGTAGAACAGTAGATCGTATTATTTATATCATCTTAGGGATGTTATACGGGGATTCCAGGTTCTCTATATAGGAGAGCTGGTTCTACAACAAAATCTACTTGCGCAGGGATCAAGACCCTGTAAGCTTTGCAGCACATTTGGCAGCAGAGCAAGAAGCTGGGAAAAGTAAGAGAAAGGGATCCAACAGCTCGCATAACTCCTACATAACTATCTGCTTGGCATTACTGACTATCTTTCAGATACTATAGCGAGCCTTGTCTCCGACTTGGTGATCTTTGCGCAGACTTCTGTCTGCAGCATTCCGGTATAGGCCATCAACTTCGTAGACAGGGTGTCTTGCTAGCTCGAGAACGTCTGCCTATACAAACAGAAGCAAGTTTGCAAGGCGCCGCCTTCTATCAAAACATGACCTGAATTGTATAGATGAATGGGAGATAACGACTTCAGAGCAGTACGCTCACGATCAAGCCAATGGGGATTGCGAGTCTGTGAAATTGGTTGTGCTCAAATTAGATTGTTCATTCAATAGGGATTGAACATTCAAGAAGTGAAGGTCGTCGACAAGACCAGGTCAAAAGGTCCTGATGCTGCGATTCGGCAAAACCTTGGGCATGACATGTTTTAATGTTACAATTCGTTCTACATAATATATCATGGTACTACTTGTTGATCTTTCTAGAATACATCAAAATGAAGTGCAAAGTATATAAAAGACGACTGTGTAGCTTCAGATCTCACATCCCCCATCTTTATTCGTAGATTCTGTCCTCCTTTGCAACGTTCTTCTCATCCTATTTGGTGAGCTGCTTATCTGGCATACGCTGACGACCCTTGCTCTTTATTTGTTCAGACTCATACAGTGTAGCAGTGTCGACAATATGACCATCTTCGAGAGAGCAGATAACAGGTGTTTTCTAATCCAATAACCAATCTAACGAATATCTCTCTGGAAATGTCTCCCCCTAATTATACTTTCAAAAGTCATCAAAGCTAAACTTAGAAAACCTTCAATTGTAGGAACCAATTTATAGTGTGTGCGAAAGCCGACAGCTTATTTCAATGAACGGGTCTCATTTCGCTTACACGTATTCTGCTCCAAATTGGTCTTCTGTATAGTTTAAGCTAAAATGAGTGTGACTAGAGAATAGCTAGAAGCAATTATAATATTTAGCCTCGAGATCTAAATTGTCTCCTGGCATAATACTGATATCTAGCTGCAGTTCTTCCTCTGAATTGCTTGCCCCAGATAATGAAAACAACAGATAGAGACATGAAGAACATCGAAATCAAGACAATAGCTACTAAGCACCACTTTATACTCGTAGCTTCAACCCAAGGGTCAACAGCAAATACAAATGCTGCGCTGATTGCATTTCGCAGGAAGGTAACCCCAACCAGTGCATCCCCAACAACCTGCATATTGTTAGAATGCAATTCATTGTGTGTCCCAGCGATATTTATGTACTTACATCTTCGTAAGAGTCGGTGAGATACGTGACAGTAATCGCCAAGATTGGAGCAACGCCAACGTTGTATAGAGCCAATCCAACAGCAATGACTGGCCAAGGAGCGCCATTGTTCAGCCCGATACCAAACATAAGACCGCCCGCAGGAACGAATAGAATGAAAGGAATAAAGCTCCAGAGTCTTGCCTCAGGCTCAAAGACACCATTGTTCCGACGGGCGGCGTATATGATCACCCTGTCGCTTACAACACCACCTAAAAGCGAGCCAATAGTGAGGCCGATAAATTTTGCTATGCTCATAAAGCCGACGCCAGAAGCTGTGAAGTTGTATGGAGGCCGCGTGAGGAAGGTGGATTGACAGGTTGAAATGACGTCTTGAAGAGCAACCAGAACGCCATAGACGGATGCAGTCCACAATACCGCGGGCACAGTGGTCAAGAGAACCAATGGCTGATACAAGTGTCGCAAAATGTCTTTGAATCCCTCATCGGTTGTTGAGATAGTGGTAAGAGCGAGGCGTTGACGCCATGTCTTCATTGGAATGTTGTGGTCAATCTTGGTCGCATACAAGTCCTCAGATACGCCTTGCTCTTGACTGCCCAAAGACTTTGTGGAATTGATGGCGTCAGTTCCAAGTCCTTTATCTTGCCTGCTTTGGTCTATGACGTTCGAATCGCCTGAAGGTTGGAGGTCGTTGCCGGCAACTTGTTCCACGATTGCGGGTGGGCAGTATTTGGTTTCTTCATAAAAGAGCGCTATCAAGATGGAGAAGAGTCCGAAGAAGATGGCATTCAGCCACCAAACCCATCTCCATCCAAGCCCAGTTGTGATAAACCCGGCGATGAGTGAACCAAGCGCACCAGCCGTTTTCCACAGCCAGATGTATGTGCTGTTGAGACGTCCACGTTGATGAACGAAAAAGACATCGGCCACTGTCATCTGAACGATAACTTCTGCAAGACTTCCGAAGAGACATTGAAGCAGATTGATAGACATGAGATCTGCCACACTCCACATTCTCGCTGACCAAATGCTAAGGCCGAACTGCATTACTGTGCTGAAGAGGTATATCGGACGACGTCCGAGTTTGAGTGCGAACGGAATGAGTAGTAGCGACCCAACACCCAGAGCGGCACTGCCAGCAGCATAAGCATTGTTGAGCATGTCATAACCGAATCCCAATTGCTTATGCATTGGCGTCCAAGTCGGTCCAGAAGAACTGATGAATTCTGACACTAGGACGGAGTAAAAGCACACGAAGCCAAAATTAATGGCTTTGCGCCATTTCGCCCAGTTGAGAGGGTCGTTTGGGTCTTCGGAAGGCCGAGGCTGGAGTATAAATTTCTTCTCTGGGCCGCTGTTATCTTCCAGAAGGACTGTTCCAGGAGGCCATAATTCGGTGCTGTTGTTACCAGCGCGTTGTTGGACTTTCGGATGAAGAGACATCGCCACCTGTTGCGATGGCTATGGTTGGGAGTGCGTACCACGAGAGTATTTAGCTACTGATGTCTCACATTTTCGAGAAGATCGAGTTGTGATTTAATAGACCTTTGAACATCGATGAGGAATATCGAGTAGCGCGAACAGGGCGGCCGTCGCCGCTCGGCCATTCTTTCGGGCGGACATGATCGCCGCTCGCTAGCATCCCTGGATAGTTTTCGTTCCAGAACTTAGATTCACTTAACGAGCACCCAGGCGGTGATTTGACCGCCGACGCATCAAGGTCCGACCAAGAAGATACGAGCGATTAGGGTTGTGTAGATAATGAGGCAAAAGTTAGTGATAAATTTTTACGGGGTAAAGGCGGCGCTGTCCGCTTGTATGGAATAGACCCTTTCAAGTACGGACTATTAATCCGGAATAACTCTTTTATTAGTTGCAACCAATATTCATCTCTGGAGCGTGTCTAGCACAATCAGACCGACAACCATTTCCACGTACATTTGCCCTCCTTAGCCTTTCGCAACAGGATCGTTACATCATTCACAAACGAATAATCACCACTGTGCAGAAAACTCAGCAGCCCTTTTAGCAAGCATGGCATCAGCCGCGCCTTCTGAATCCAAATTCGCGGCGAATGTTATCATAATTGGTGCTGGTGTTTTTGGCCTGTCCACGGCCCTAGCCATTGCGAACCGACACCCATCAACTTCTGTAACAGTCGTTGATCGTTGCACACCTCCGGTGCCAGATGGAAGTAGTGTCGACACGACACGCTGCATTCGTTGGGGTGAGCGAAGAATAGCACCAGCTGTTGAACACTTAGCTGATCGAGTGTTCTAGATTATCCCGACCCAATCTATGCTCAATTGGCGAAACAATCCCAGCTTCTGATCGAGCAAGACCCCGAGCTCAGCAAACATTTCTTCAAGAGGGGAATGACCTTTGTGTGCAATGGTGTCCCAAGCAGATTCACACAAGGGTGGCAGGACCAGTACAATCTTACGAAAGACCTAGCGCAGCCTGAACACTTAGTAGACTTGCCAACGCGGGAAACATTGTTCCAGCGCATTCATGGAAAGGATGCAAAGCCCTTGAATCGAATTGTGCTTGGACGGGAGCCACAATGGAACGTGGCATACACCAACAAAGAGGATGCTTTTATCGACGCGGAAGCGGGCATACAAGTGTACTACGACCGCTGTCTACAATACCCGTCAATTCGCTTTCGCTGCGGCACCGAGGTTGATCACATCAATATCGATAAAGGTATTGCCAAGGGTGTGGTTTTAGCAGATGGAAGCAATCTACAATCTGATATGGTCATTGTTGCGGCTGGTGCATGGTCAAGCAGGTTGGTCAGTCTTGGATCACGAGTATATCCTATTGGCCACGAAGTAGTGTGGTTCAAAGTAACGCGGGAAGAGGAAATGCGATGGAAGGCCATGTCTATTACAACCAACGACAGTACAGGTTTGAATATATTTCCACCATATCGTGGCGAAGTCAAGGTGTTGCGCAGGTCACCCGGCGTCAAGAACTCGATCACAATTCCGAAGCCAGAGAACCGCTCAGAAACCATGGAAATCTCATATCCGCGGACACTCGTGACCAATCCAACAGATATCATACCTGCCAATGCGGAAGCTGCAATTCGAGAAGATCTGCGAGAGATCATGCCTTCCCTTGCCAGTCGACCATTCGATCGTACAAAAATCTGCTGGTGTGTGTTCTATTGTTGCATACTGCACTTTGGCTAACATTCTCTCATAGGATCAGCACAACGCCGACTGCGGATTTCCTTATTGCTCCCCATCCGAGCGTTGGTGGTATTCATCTGGCAACTGGAGGATCTGCACATGCTTGGAAGTTTGTACCAGTATTGGGTGACCTTGTCGTCGATTCCATAATGGGTAATCTCTCGAAGGAACTTGAAGACAAGTGGGCCTTCGATAAGTCGGGGCAGTCGAGCGACCAGGCTGCTCCCCGCATGGATGGCGCGCCAGAAGAGCTTCGTGATGTGGTGAGAACTATTCAAAGTCACTTTTAGGCAAGGTTAAGGTGGTTCAGATGACGAATGAACGGACGGCACCAAGTTTCGACAGCAGAAGTGCAATAAAGCTGTGGGAAGGGTTTAGTTATATTGCGATTGTCCTACTTAGTTAGCTCATTCATCTTTGCATACGATCGATCAGGAATGTAGTTCACTACTATTCAACCTTGTCGCAGACATTAGACTGGGCATCTCACATTCTTGATGTGCTGTCAATTAATTTTCTACCTAAGACCAAGAGTTTGTGTAAAAGCCGTGCTCGGTATGTGCTGGCAACGACCAGTCAAAGGAAGAGGCAGAGCTGAGACCTGGGTGCCCAGAGTCGGACATCACCTCGAGGACATCTGGGTCATGTTGGGGTTGATCTTGAAGAGAAGTGGGATGATCTTCAAGGAATGCCCTTTGCATTTCAAAAGCACGTGGCAGGTGTAGATTCGCTTCGATCCTGTCATCTTCGAATGGCAGTTGACGTGGTGTTTGACCATCCGTTCCAGAGACTTCCGCTTCGACGTAGTTCCCATCTGCCGGGAGTGAATGGAAGCCAGCACCCATATAATAATGTCGTGGACTTTCATCGGCTGACGCATTTGAGGAGATGTCAGCTAGAACTGCCGAAGAGATTGCATCGAAGGTGTCGCGTTTTCCTTTGAAGGCTGGAAAATGCTCTACCATTCCCCAAAGGACGGAGGAGCAGGTATGCACGTGGGTTTCAAGGGTCTTTAGAGTGATTTCTTCTTGTACTTTCGGCGACTTCATCCAGCTGAATATGAGGTTTGTACGAGCAGAGCTCAAGCTTGCTATAGCTTGCCAGTACACTGTAAGTCTACGCTCATCAAAGAAGCGTTTGTAGAGGCGGATCATTTGAGCCGTGGAGTCTGCGACTATCTGCCAAGATGACTCGGACGGCTCAGGTATGTTTGTAGATGGTTTGTATAGATAGAAAAGCGCCCTGTAGAAAGAGAGTTCGAAGTTTTCCTGATCTTTACGATCATAACTAGTCATACCATCTCCAGTCGGCACGTTGTCGTACCAGATTCGTATGCGGTCATGCATCCCGCGTTGCCAAAGACCCCAATCAATCTGTGCGCAAAGCGGAGAAGGTCTATCGTGAAGAACGCTTTGCATCTCAGATTGAATCTGACGATATTGGAGGAGGTGAATATTGAGTTTCTTAGCAGAGAAGCGAGTCTCATCAGGTATATTTAAGACGTCTGATCGGGTGCAATCATCGTGGGCTGCACTAGGAAACTATGGTGAATGTGAATATAAGCCTATGCTTTGGGATCTTTCTCAACCTACTTTTGCAGTTATTGCTCCATCTGACAGACAAGATGGCAGATCAAAAGCAATGCAAGCATTCTTTTCCATCGTGTACGCAACCCAGAATATTCTACGCCTATTATCCAAGGTAAGGGCGTCAACGCCTGCAGTAGGCGTATCTGAATGGAGTCCGATTTCAGTCGCGAGGCGTAGAGCGTAACCAATTGTCTGCCAAAAGCTCCACAGTGTCGGATGGTGGTAAGTATATTGGCTAATAAGAAGAAGCGTCCTGATGCCTTCGATACCGCTGGGCAAACCAATGGTTTCTAGTGATCTCAAAGCCACGTTGTGATATCGGTCTGCCATCGAAATGGGGATTTTTAATGGCTCTCGCTTTTGCAGAACCAACAATGCAATAGCAAAGATTTCAAATGCATAAAATAGGCTCAAGGAGGACTCACCCGTTCCATTCGTGGCCCGGCTGTCCGACACTTCCTGTTCTGTATAGAGGCGTCTCAGCATGTCTCGAAACGTAGGCTCATGTAACAACGGCATTCCATTATTCGCGAACTCAAAGTATGCTGAGACGAGCTTTTGGGTCGCCTGCTCATCTGGTAGATTGACAGGTTGATTTTCAAGATCTTGAATAATATCAGATGATGAAGTGCTGGCAACTGCGCTTGGGATGCTAAGTGCAGGCGTGAACATAGCGTTCTTAGCGAGTTGGGTGATTTTCGAGAACAACAATGGAGAGAAATGAGGCTCTCGCTCAGGAATGGGCTGAGCCATCGCCTGAAGCTTGTCAAGCGCCAAGCTTGTCACAGCTTCAACGCCTTCCCTTTGGGTTTGCAGATGCTGGGCACATGAGTTTGGTAGCTGTTCTGGGGCATTTACTCCGTGGTTCCCGCTCACTGACTGTGTTGTAGATGGTGACGTGGACCTTTCGTCTTCAAGGTCGTGAAAAGGGATGCTGGAGTGCCTCAACTTCAGCTCTAGGTAAGCCACTCTCTCCTCCAGACTGAAAATGTAGCTTAACAAACGAACATTAGCAGAAGTCACAACCCTAGGAATTTCACAAACCTTCGAGGAACTTGTCTTTTCGCGACCCTGTCGTAGCTACTGCACGGAACTCCTGCCGCCTCGCATAGTCCGCATGCCTGAGACGTTGAATCCAAGGATTAACAATCAATCTCTTTAGATCCGATCGGAGTCAGACTCACAGGAAGCTTCTGATCGCACCGCTTTTTTTTCTGGTGACATCTTACGCAGGCAGTAATGTTGCCTCTCGCTAACGATAACGGCCTGCCAGCTTGTGATCGTGCTGGTATAGTTGTCGACATATTGGAGGAAGCACAATGAAGACTTAAATTCGCTAATTCACGTTGGTCGAGATGTAAGATAGCATGTCCGTCATATCCGTGGCATTAGTCGAGCATGCATAGATGAAATGTAGAGGGAGATGGGGTCGACGTAATAGCTGCGAGGGGAAGATTGAGTAGGCCAGGATGGTCACGTGAGAGTCATGATTAATGGCAAATTGTACTGTAGAGAAGTACTTTTACTGAATGAGTTAATCTAGGAATTCTGCCCTTTTGATATACGGCGCATAGCTCTACCAAATAATCAAGCATGGGAGCTTCTACTGTCGCATAGCTGTCGTATCGCCTTCACGTAGTCGTAATGACTGTCACACACTGCTACCGGTGGTCATAGCGGCGCCGGAGGCAGGAAACTTAGCGCCTGATCTATCAACAGATTGAAACCAATCGGGAGGCCCTGACTACAACGACGTACTATTATCCTACTATTGTTTGCCTGAGTTGCTTGGCAAATACATCATTAAATGCCAAATCATGGATTATAAGGCTGCAAGAGCAGAGTCCGAGGCGTATTCAGGTCTTAAAGAGCTGGTAGGTTTATGGAAGTTTGAATAGTATATTGAGTGTAAGCTAAAAACAGGTATATAGCTTAGGTTTATCTATTAATGATCAATTTTGCTACATTGCAAGCCCTTCATTCCTGGTACTATCTTCTAAACGTCTGTATGCTTTCTTGACATCACTCTTCACCTGGTTCTTCCCCCTTCTTTGCTTGTTGAGCCCGCTTATCTTCCTCCTCTTCTATTAGCTTACTGCCTATACTTCTATTACTTATATATATAAAACATAGTAATAGGCAGGTAGACGGCATATCTATAGATAACAGAGCTATACAGCTTAAGTTGAATAATTATCTGGCCAAATGCCTACAGCATGGTCTACAAGCTCTCTCATATTTACGACAGTGCCCTGACCTTCTCCTAGCTTACCTACTCTTGCCATACCTGAAGCGATTGCGCTCGCCCCGGCAGAAAGGAACGCCTCGTTGCTTAGCTCTTGCAGGATCTCATACTGTACCCACTCTCTCTTCCCGTTGACCAGCATTGGTGCACCCTGTAGAGTCTTTGGTCGATCTGGCCACCGCCTGCACTCCGCGAGATGAAGCGCAGTGCATCTATCGAAACCGACTCCAATAAGTAAGATCTTGACTCTATTAAGCCGATAGATCTTGCCTAGAGGAGAAGTCTCTCCAAGCGGATCCTCCAATCGATGATCAGCCATAAGGCTCGCTGCAAATGGGCCTCGAGCCACGAAAGAGGTGGTAGGATGACCACTGCGGAGAGCTCCTGGCCAAGTCCTGAAGACTTCGACCACCCTGCCCATTGAACTTGTAGGCGTGGTGCGTGGATCATAGACTGGCATCGTGCCTCGTATAGTCTGCACCCAATCTTTAGGCACGGGAGGCTGAGACCAATTTGCGGGATCTGTAAGGTTGCCCGACTGCGACGGCATGATGATAGTGCCTTGTTCCCCAACGGTCTTCATCAAAGCTTCGACAACTGCGACAGGGCCACCATTGACCCACCCAAGAGAGCTGAGCGACGTATGCACAAGGACTGTATCTCCTTGCATTAGTCCCATCTCATTAAGTTGAGCTGCGAGGCTGTTGATTGTGATTGGCGAGCGTGTTCGAGCAACAAGAGCTGCCTCAGCCATTTTGGGTGGTAAAATGCGGCCCAACGGCGCGTGTAGGCAGAAATGAGTAGTGATGGCGTTAACTACTGCTTCGATAGCAATAATGATCAAAGGGATCCTATTCTCTATATAACGGGCCTGGAGCCATTGCGTTGCGCCCTTCGTTGCGCCCTTTTCTTCTTCTTCAATGACTCACGTCTAATTTGCTTCAGCCACGTTCTCGCTAGACGATCTTAATGTATCATCTTATACGGAGTAGTTACATCTAATAGTTATATCTAATGTTTGCACATCTTAAGTTGTTTATATCGGTATGGCTGATGGTAGATGTATACAGAGACGTGAGCGTCAAATGATGGTGTGAGCATCTGTAGAAGCTTTCCTTGTTAATATAAAGCTCAAGAACTGAGAACATACGAAGACTCTCGATGAGAGCGTGCACATTCGCTGGACAGCCTATACTGACACTGCCCTCTGCAGTTCGCCATACAGTCCCAATGATGTGTATGGTGCTAGGTTCACAGGGATAAAGCTGATTGATGTCCTTTCCATCGATCGTCTCGAGAAACATAACGCCGCGCGAGCTGGAAGGCGGAAGATGCTGGAGTTATTCGAGTCTAGCGGGCGAAGATGACGTACTCTTGTACACGGTGTTGAAGTGATGATGCGTGTTCTGGCTCGACAAATTAATATGTCATCGAACCCGAGGCCCACGTGTTGTCCGGCTGAGCCGCTGAACAACGTCTTTGAAAATTGCCGTTTCCGGTATGTGGGGTATGCGGGGTATGCTGCCCCTGATCGGACCTGCGTTGCGCAAGACTTTCTATGAGGTATGTATGGCAGGCGCAATAACCATTGTGAGCGTCCTTTCTCTAGAAGCGAGAGAAGCTATGTATCGAATCGTGTATTTGGAATGATCAACATTGTTGCGCCACTGCTCGTGACACAAAATTGCTTTAGGGAAACGCTTAACCGTCCGCCGTAACCCGTCATCGTTGATGGAGGTCAGCGCAAAGTGTCGCCTGGTAGTCACTGGAAGAATTGCATTGCGGATTGCGTATGGGACATGCGATGGGGCATTGGAATAATTGCGATGTTATGTCGTCAAGGGTTTTATCATTGAATCCGGCGGGTATGAAGTGAGCTCGGCCTCTGATAAGCTTTCAGCAATCAAAGCTTGCATGGATGACACATCCTGACGCCCTCCCAACATGTCTCCACACTTTTTATTAGGGTTGCGTGTTGTCGTGATGCTTCCGTCCGATCCCAAGAGATTCGTTTCAAAATGAAAACACCAGAACAAGAAATTATCTTATTATTGCTATTCTGTCTGCATGGCGGGCGGGGATAATGGAGAGGCGCGCTCGTGGCGGCGCTCAAAGACTTTGATTATTTTTACGGCGACGCTTGGGCTCTTTACCGGTACGCATAGGACTCTGGACGGGAACATGTTTCTATTCTGAACTGACGCCCACATCACTTTTAGAAAACTTCCTCTACGGCTTCGTGGTCCCAATTCTCCCCTACATGATCGAGAAACGACTCAACCTAGACCCGGCATACACCCAGCGCTTCACAACAGAGCTGCTCTTCATCCTGGGCCTCGTCTCCGTCCCTGCCGCGCCCATCATTGGCCATTTCGCCGATAAGACGACGAGCCGGAAAATTCCCCTCTTGATCTCGCTTGTAGGATGCACCATTGGCACGCTTTTGGTCGCGTCGACGCCTTCAGGTGATCTCACCACCCCCGTCAAGGTACTTCGTGCTGACTCTCTGCAGTATGGGCCGTATACTTAGGACGCATCCTCCAAGGCATCTCCGGCGTAGGAGCCTGGATCGTGGGGTTTGCCATGCTGACCGATGCCGCCGGGCCCAAGCATCTAGGAAAAGCCCTGGGCTTCTCCGGGTCCTTCATCACCGCCGGCGTTTTGACCGGGCCCGTCATCGCGGGTGCCTTTCTGCAGTGGTTTGGGTACTGGGCTGCGTGGTCGGTGCCGTTGATCTTCATTGCCATCTGCTTTGTTGCGCGACTAGCCATCGTGGAAGATAGACGGCCAGCTCAGACGAAGGTGTCGACGACCGCAGCCCTCGACCGTGACGAGTCTTCCCCGCTCCTGTCGTCAGATGCTTACAGAAACGAGAGAGAGGTGGTTGCCCCGGAAGAAGCGAAAACGCAACACTCTCGTGGCTTCTACAGCATCATGTTCAGCCAAGGAAGCACCTACGCCGCCCTCTTCAACGTCGCCGCCTTCTCATTAGTTATATCCGGCTTCGACACCACGCTCCCCGTGCACCTACGCGAAGAGTTCGGCTGGCGTTCCGCGCCAATAGGCCTCATCTTCCTCGGCATCCAGATCCCCAGCATGTTCCTCGCACCCTTCGTAGGCTGGCTGCGCGACCGCGTGGGGCTCCGCTGGCCGACGACGATAGGGTGGGCGGTGAGCACGCCCTTGTTCTGGTTCCTTGTTGTGCCGGGCAAGGACAATTTCTTGGGCGTTGGGGATGGAGCTAGAGGACAGGCTGCGTTTGCGGTGACTATGGTTGGGATCGGGCTTGCGTGGTCGTTTGCTAGGGGGGCGGGAACGTTTCAGTTGACTAGTATATCGTCACCATCGTCTGCTCTATCTGATGGCTCGCTGACTTATACGTGATAGTGATCATGCACGAACTGAAAGCTAAGGACCCCAATGTATTCGGGCCTGGAGGCGGTAGTTCCCGGACGTTCTCGATGACGGAGACGTCTTTCGCTATTGGGCTTGTGCTTGGGCCTCTCCTTACCGGCGCGTTGGCAGATGTAGTTGGATTTTACTATGCCACTTGTGCACTTGGTACGTACCGCCAGTTATACCTTTCGTGTCCTTCGCATAGCCACTAACAGCGACATCTAGCATGCGTGTCGGCCTTGGTTTCGATAAACTCGTGGATATACTTCACGCACAAGGCGCCGGTGCGAGAGCCGCTGGCAGACGAAGAAGCATGAAGTTCGACATGGGAACGATGTTCGGCTGCGACACGCTGTAAACCAAAAAGTAGTCATGAACATTTAGGTGGTCGTCCTCGTCGTTGAAACAAGCATGGCTTAACTGAATTCCAATGACGATAGCGATACAAACGTAGTGATTGACTCAAAAGCCGAGCCTGAATGTTGCTCGTGTGCTGTATAATTCAGGTGAACCGTTTTTGTCTTGCAGCCTGGTATGACACAAAATGGGGCTGAATCGGAATCTCCCGTGCCAACGTGTCCTCAGACACTCTCGACATGCTTCACAGTGTTCAAACAGTGCAGAGAGCGCGACAGCAGAACCATTTGAACTAACCTTGCAAGGTGAGCTCATCCGTCATTTGCGTCACGGCAAACTGTCGATTTTGACGCAGCAGGACGCTTTATATCTACAAAGCGAGACCTCTTCCAATTCTATCCAAATCCAATACCAGCACTGTCCACGGCATCTTCTCTCGATTGTGGTGTTCCCCAAACTCCACCTCCTGGGGTTTGGATCTCTACCTGCTCGCCGGCCTTCAATTGGAGCACTGCCCTTGGTCCAACGTTGACAATCCTTTTCGTACCACTTTGATGGTTGAGAATAGCCAGGTTAAGCCCTGCTTTTCCTGAAGTGCCTCCGGCCATACCAAATGGTCTGTTCGAACGCCGTTCATTGTCCTCGATGAACGTCATTTCTGACCTGGTTTCGAACAATCGAACAGCTCCATCTCCGCCATTGTATTTGCCCACTCCACCAGACCCGTGACGAATCCCAAACTTTCGAAGCAGAATCGGCATCTTCTTTTCGAGTATTTCAGGGTCTATAGTCCGCGTGTTTGTCATGTGCTAGAACAGCCCTTCGTGATAAGGGAGTGAGCCTACCTTCTTCCCAGATCATGACAGTATGTTCGTAAAGAGATCCGTACTCAGCAAAGCTGATTCGGTAAAGAGCGGGTAAAACCCCGGTACATGAGCTGTACATCGGCCCGGTTATTGCCGCCATGCTATAGCAATCTAGTGACCTATGGGGTATGGGGAAGTGGATCTGACCTTTGGTGCCTTGATAGCTCCACACAGACAAAGTTCGAATAAGCGCGCAAAGTCGATAAGGGTCGAGTGGCAGCTTGATAAGGATGTTTATAAGTAAACAGTCACTCCGCTCCTGTTGTTAAGCTGTGACATTACGAAGACATTTTCCAGCATCGTCGCATATCGGAATACTACAGCACTGGAGAAACCCTGAGGTTAAATGGCAACTACCACGAAAAAAAATATGGTTGGTGGAAGCACTGTCGAGAAGGGCGATGAACAGCCTTTGAGCGCAGATGAGCAGCGACTCGCCGAGATGGGTAAGAAAACTCCATCAGAGGATCTAGGAATACTTATTCATGATTACAAGGTCACGTGCAGGAGCTAGAACGCCATTTTTCAACATTGTCTCTCATTGGACTTGCCTCAACGACCACCATTTCCTGGACAGGGCTTGGGTTGGGAATTGTTACGGAGATTAACGCTGGAGGACCTGGAGCCATTATATATGGATTCATATTCATCTTCGTGCTGCAATGCTTCCTTGGCGCAACCCTGGCCGAGTTTGTCTCCAGCTATCCCACTGAGGGTGGTAGTACGTTATCCCAAACTCTGCAGCAGCGTTTCGCCGAGCTCAGGAAATTTCGCATACTCGTTTAGCATGGACTTGCACTGACTATGGATCCAAGTGTATCATTGGATTGCGGCCATAGCGCCCAAGAAACAAGCTCCCTTTCTCAGTTTCCTTACTGGTTGGTTTACAGTGTGTGGATGTAAGTTGCTACTGATCAAAACAATGCATGGAACGAACCTAAACCATATCAGGGATCTTTACTACAGCATCCACGAACTTGATATACGCACAGACACTCGGGGCGCTGATTGCTTTGTACCATTCGGACATGATAGTAAAGACATGGGAGATATTCATAATTTACCAAGGACTCAATTTAGCAACAGCTTCCGTCGTGTTATTCGGCAACAAGGTCATTCCGATTCTTAATAAGTTCTCGCTATTCTACCTACAAATCGGTTGGCTGGTTGTTCTGGTTACTGTCGTAGCTCGCGCACCTAAGTATCAGAGTCCTGAGTTCGTCTTCAGCACCTGGATCAATAACACTGGCTGGCAAAACAATGTTGTTGCTTTCGCTGTTGGACTAGTCAATCCTCTATATAGCCTTGGTGGACTTGATGGCGGTGAGTGTTCAAGCGCACATTATGTTCAATTGCTTACTGACCAACTTTTAGTAACACACATTACCGAGGAAATGCCTAATGTAAGAAAAGCTAGAGGGTCTTCAGGTGTTATATATCGGTGATGCTAATTAAAATGGCAGCCATCACGCAATGCACCATTGGCAATAGCCATCACGCTCATTATCGCATTTTTCACCGGCATCAGCTACCTCATTGGACTCATGTTCAGCGTACAGGATTACAGCGCACTTGCCACTACAAAAACTGGGCTTCCTTTAGCTGAACTCTTTCGCCAAGCTACGCAGTCAGCAGGTGGCGCCTTTGGACTCACTTTCATCCTTTTCATTGCACTGGGTCCTTGTGTCATCTCTTCCCAGCTGTCTACTTCCCGAGTCCTGTGGGCCTTCGCTCGAGATGGCGCTATGCCATGGTCATCAACGTGGGCACGGGTAAGCTTGAGATTTGGTATTCCCTTCAATGAACAACTGCTGGTCACGGCCGCCATTGCTGCCTTGGGATGTCTTTACCTGGGCAGTTCGACAGCATTCAATGCGATGCTCGGATCTGCGGTTACCGTTAACAATATCACGTACTATATCCCCATTTTGACTAATCTCCTAACGGGAAGACGGAATATGTATAAGGGTGCTTTTCATATGGGTAAATGGGGCTGGTTTGTCAACGGTGCGACTATTTGTTGGCTCACCTTTGCCATCATCTTCTTCAGCTTTCCTTACTCCATGCCTGTTCAAGTTCAGAATATGAACTATACCTGCGTGGTTGTCGGCACTTTGCCGATCCTGATCATCGGCTGGTGGTTTTGCATCAGGCAATCATACAAGGAGAAGATTGCTGTTGCGAAGAAGGAGTGAGTTTCTGAAGAACAAGGACGAATCGTAGTTACCTAGTACGCTAGGTTGCCATAGGAATCAAAGAGAAATATGTTTCCTACTTAGACCCTCTACAACCTGGACTTTTGCCTGTTTTCCGACGTACAAATTATCCCGCTCGCAAGGTCAACGCTATAGTATGAATTCTATGCTAGGTGGTCTGAACCAATGTTTGCACGGATGTCATATTTTGCAACGGTCTCTAACTTTGTCACTGAGACTTGGGTCACATAACTGAAGAGCATAGTCGGATTCTCCAATACACCGCATAACCTGATTGTTGTAGGCTAGGTCAGGCCCAATGCAGAAGGTGTCTCCTCTAGTTCAATCAAGGAACGAGGGGCCTCAAATCAGCTGATTGTTGTCTTGACATGTAAAACGCTAGGTCAACAGGGATATTGATAGCAAGTTTGACTAAGGACTGAGGCACGCGACCGATGAATCATGTGTACTTACCATACTTGTTAAGGGACTGACATTGTAGGTAAGGCCTTTGTAGCCCTACTCATATTGATCGTATTAGAGATAAGAACTTCTGCAATAAGACTGTCCTAGCTTTTTAATAACAACTAAGATTATGGGGTAGTTCATATGCCAGCTCAATTGCAGAATAGCACATCAACGTGTGATAAGCTTCGTGGAGAAGTGGAGCATGGAGGGCCAGATTGTGAGATTCAATATCGGCGGATCTTTCGGTTACGTTGACCAGCGCCAATGTCGACGGCTTCCCTCCGATGTTGGCCGAAGATCACCGGAGTGAAGAATGACCGGGTGGCCATCTACACCATCTTCCGGAAATCATAGGTGGCACCGATCTTGAAATTATCATTTCTGTACAGCCATATTTCTAGACCTTAGGTTCAGGCCGCGCACTACTAAACGACCTGAACGTCAAAAACTTCGACTCTAATCAGTTACTGCCAACCATTACGATCATGCGTCTCATCATCCGTGAAGGCGCCGACACGACAGCGGAGTATGTCGCTGAATACATCATTGAACGCATCAATACATTTTCGCCTACAGCAGCGAATCCCTTCGTCTTAGGCCTGCCGACTGGAAGTAGCCCAATTCCGGTATACCGCGCGCTAGTCGTTGCTCACAAAATGGCACGTGTATCCTTCCGCCATGTTGTCACGTTCAACATGGATGAGTACGTTGGCCTCCCAAGAGAACATCCCGAATCATACCATTCATTCATGCACACATACCTTTTCAACCACATCGACATCGATCTATCAAATATAAACATGCTCGATGGAAATGCAATCAATCTGCAACAAGAATGCGCCATGTACGAGGCCAAAATTAAGAAATATGGTGGCATCCAGCTGTTCCTTGGTGGCGTGGGAAGCGATGGCCACATTGCGTTCAACGAGCCGGGATCAAGCCTATCAAGCCGCACTCGACTCAAGTCCTTGGCGTACGAGACAATGCTAGCGAACGCTAGGTTCTTCGATGGGAATATGAGCATGGTCCCTCGTATGGCTCTTACGGTTGGGGTGCAGACGATTATGGACGCAAAGGAGGTCGTCATAATTGCTACAGGAACCACCAAGGCACTCGCTATCCAGTCCGCGATTGAAGGAGGGGTAAATCATATGCACACACTTTCCTGTCTGCAGCTGCATCCATGCAGTCTGCTTGTTGTTGATGAGGATGCTACCATGGAATTGAAAGTCAAGACCGTTGCCGTGAGTGATAGATTTAAAATGCTTATGGGCTCTTCTCTGACATGAGGCGTAGTACTTCAAAGGCGTTGAGTGGACCACGCACAAGGGTACCAAAGCGCAACAACGACTGGTACAAACGAACGGCTTCCAACAGGACCCATTAGATGTCGAATCTGAAGATCTGAGTCCGGACAGCATGTCTTCTCGCATTCATCCCATGAAGGGTTTTCCAGTAAGATCTGCGACCGTATCGTATGCTACAGCATGATGCGGTCGGTTGTTTGCGTTGCGACAATACATCGGGTTGCGACTATCAATTGTAATAGAGATAAGTCTTTTGATGTTTTTGATTTCATATTTGTGCATCAGTCCACTGGGTAGATTCAGATGCCCCGGGATATGACCAAGATCCAAAATTCATCTGCTCAAGGCTGGCTTGATCGAAAATATGCCACGAGCTATCGACATCAAGTGTGGTGTAATTCTGTTGGGATGAGTCGTTTACCTTGTGGGTGTTGACTTTTTGAAGACTGCCATCGAGACGAGTGATCAATTTGGTGTGCAACAGGGGTTTCGGATCATTCGCTTGTTTCAATTTATCGAGGTGTACTTTGATCGCATCTAGATCTGTCTCAGGTTAATTAGATAACTATGTAGCATGATTTCAGGAAATCCTACCATTAACTTCCCCTGCATTGCCTTCTATCCCTTGTAAGAGAATCAGCGCAGCCCAAGTAATCATGACTAGATCCCAGTTCGCCCAGATCGTGTCATCTTGCACATGAAGTCTGATCGTCGCACGTGCCGAAAGGAGCAATTCGTGTTGTTCTTTGGGTGTGACTGTACTAGACCAGAGGTCGCAACCCCGAGCAGTATGGTAGATAGACAATACTACCATACGGTGTAGTACATATTGTCGAAAGACCAAATGCCGAGTATGCTCTGAACCTTCTACTGTCGTGCTAAACTCCTCGAGCCATTCATCTAATTGTCTAGCCCAGTCCCTGATAACGGCTGCGTCAACTGCCGTGAACGAAGATGCCAGATTTGAAACTAGTGGTTTGTCATACTGAAAACATGACCAGATGGTAGGTAGTCCTCTCCCTGTGAAGTGGGTTAAACCTGTATGCATCATACGTGATAGTTTATTCAATTGGTCCCGATGCGAAGTTCGCAGGCCTGGCAAGGGTGCCTCCATCGGGATGACTGGGCACGACAGATGGAGAGATGCGTGCTCAAGATCAATGATTTGCACACCACTAAAGAGTTTTCTCCATTCCCTCGAGGTTTCGTCGACATGAGCTGGGCAATGCTCCAGTATTAAACGATAAGCAACGGATATCCACAAACCAGTTTCAGGTATGCTGGCTTCGTTCAGCAGTCCGGCCAATACGATTCCTAACACAGTCTGGAATGCCCATTCTTCGATGGCACAGTCGTTTTGTGGCGGTTGGCTAAAAGCACTCTCAGGGATAAGAAGATGCGCAATAGCATTGTTGAATACTCGAAAATAGCTTGGAGATAATTCTGCTGTTTCGGGTGGGCCCCGTACGCTCGAGAAATGCAAAATAGCGACAAGAAGTAATGGTTGAGGAGAGGAAAATGTCTGTTTTTTCGGCATGAAATGCAACCCGGGCATTCTATCCTGAAACGATGACCAAAGTTCACCAACGACATTTTTATTCCAGATTGCAGATGGGACGTCAATGTTAGTGCAATTCTCTTGCAGTGTTCTGAGCGCTTCCCACAATGCTTGGAAGCCACGCAATTCAGACGGTACATTGTCGGATAGAGCCCTACTGTTACTGGTGGCCTCCTCAGTTGATTCTGGACAGCCAATACCAAGAATTTCCTCGATGGTTCGGAGCCTCTGAAGCACATCGACTTGAAAATGCGCATCTAGTCGCTGGCTAGGTACGAGATCCCCAACGTTTGCCGCATTTGCCCTTGGTATGAATATACATGGCAATCCAGATCGATAACATCTGCGACAGATATTTCCGTTCCCCGGAAGACATCTCATTTTCTGCTTTCGGCAGTTTGCTACAACGCAAAGGGTCTCAGTAGGCTTTCGTAACTCATTTCTCGCGCTACTCACTGCAAGCTTTTCGAGCCTTGGGCTCGACTCCTGGATTTCCATTGCGAAAGACCCTTTCAGATCCAAAGGTCGGTTCGCGCGCTGCATTCCGTTGTGTCATTTTTCCGATAAATGCCTCTGAGATTTCGTTCCGGTGTATTTGCCCGGGGTTTGGCGGATTATCTAGTTTTTGAGTTGGGAAGCAATGCCAAGACAAGGAGATACCTTCCCAGAAAAGCTAAGTGCCACTCAGCATTCCACCGGTAATAACCGGTCAAAACACCGGGCTTCCATCGGCGTAAATTGCGCATCGCAGCGCAGATCAGTGCATAGGCAGAGGGTTTTCTTAAATTGTAGAAGTCGCCAGCGGCTTTCCCAGCCGTGCTGCCTGCCATGCTATCACATGACAGCGAAATCAAAGGACCGGCTTCGCCACTGGTCAGAGGTATCTTGGACCAATTCGATCTCACCGATAAGCATGTACGGAACATTACACGGAAATTTGTCCAGCAAATGCGTGGGTCATCTTTTCTGCAATTTTTCTATGATATAGACTGATTCCTGTTCATCATAGGAGATGGATTGATCTACTCAAGGCCGTGGCAATTACCATCCTACGTATGCCATATTCCGGATGGGACCGAGAAGGGGACGTTTCTGACAGTCGACCTTGGTGGAACCAACTGTCGGATATGTCTCGTAAATTTACTGGGCGATTCGACGTACAAAGTAGTACAGACCAAGAAGACGGTGCCCGCGCACGTACGGATCAATCCCAGATACAAGCCATTATTCGACTTTATATCCGAAGCTATTGGTGTTTTTCTCGATCGCCCTGACCTTCGGCTTCTAGCAGAAGGTGCATCGCGAATTCCTCTTAGTTTTACGTTCAGTTTTACGTGCGAGCAAACATCGATATCACAGGGGACGTTGATACAGTGGGACAAAGGTTGGAATATTCCCGAAGCCATAGGGGAGAATCCATGCGCCATGCTCCAGCAATCTGTGGATGAATTGAAGCTCCCAGTTCATGTTGTAGCTTTGGCAAATGATAGTGTAGGCACAATGCTAACGAGAGCTTATACTGCACAATCGCATGGTTCTACACTAGCAGGCGTGATTATAGGCACGGGTACAAACGCTGCATACATTGAAAAGCTCAGCAATGTGAAGAGGATTTCTAGAGCTGGAACGACGGTTTCGAACGCGTCGATGGTCATCAACACGGAATGGGGTTGCTTCGACGATGATCTTGAGACGCTACCGACCACAAGCTTTGACCGTAGCTTAGACATCAACTCGAACAACCCTGGGAGCCAACAGTTAGAGAAACGGGTATCTGGCATGTACCTCGGCGAACTACTGCGGTTAGTCATAGTAGCCTGCTACAGCCAAGGTATATTCGACATGGCTCTAAATTCAGATTCATCATGTAATTGTCCTTACGGCCTCGACAGCTCATTCCTCTCACTGCTGGCCAGTAGTGAGCAGACTGATACTCCAGAAGTCACTGCAGCCATCGAGGAGGTGCTACTGGCCAAAAACGTTACTTCGAGTGACGTAAGAACCTTGCAACAACTTGCAAATGGGATAGCAAAACGCTCAGCACGATTAGCTGGGTCGGGTCTGGGCGCAATCATTCTACAATCTGGACGCTTACGTCAATCACGGCATGAGAAAGAGCTCATTGAGGTGACGAGTGTCCAAGCTCGAAAGCATGCAACTCAATCATTGAAGAGCAGTGGACGCGGCTGTCGGCTTCTTTGTTGGATCAGCCAGTTTTTCGCGCAATTAGGGTTTTCTGCCCGGCAGCCAAAGCACGCCCCAGAAACTACCGTGCAGGACAGGAACGAAGATGACATTGTCGATGTGGGTGTAGACGGCTCACTTATCGAAAAGTATCCAGGGTTCGAGAATTTTATGCGTAGCGCGCTGAGGGATATCGATGATATTGGATGGGATGGTGAAAGGAGAATCCAGATGGGTTTTGCAAGGGATGGGTCAGCAGTAGGCGCAGCACTAATGGCAAAAGCATCAGTGTTGGCATAGTCTATTTTAGTTATTATATATGTCATGTCTTGGTGATGATAAATGTAATAGAGATAGTTGGGCTGTCGAAGAGATGATGATGGAAGCTGCTCGAAACTTAGCCAACGAGAGGAATCGAAAGCAAAACGGAAGGATTAGTATATAATTGAAGATAAAGCTGTCAACAACTTAAAAAGTCATGATACCCTTAATATGCCTTGCTTCTTGTCGACGATGTATGTGCACTCCCCTCCTATGTCGCAATCAAATGCAGTGGGTTTCGTGGACTTTTATATAGTCTAAGGCTCTAAGCAAACCCATCATGTGCGCCAAGCCTGAAATAATGACCATTACGTGAAGTATCTGGTGGCTGCTTCCGAAGAAATCGAAGGTGTAAGGAGACCAACGCTCGGGTATCTGTTCAGATTAGAGGGAGCGCTATGTAAAATTTATCAAACGAAGCTTACCCGAATGGCATACGCAATAGCGCCCATCACGTTGAAACTGGCCGTAGCAGCCATCCAATCAAGGCTCATACGTTTCATTTGTCTCTCCCATCCATATAGTATGAGTCCATGAATCACGAAAATGACAGAGGAGAAGCCTAGACTTGAGTACATTACTGCACGATATTTGCGAAGCGTAGGATGCCGAAACCTTGGATGGAGAGTAGCTGTAGCACAGGCTAACGCGAGCATGCTTATCTGGGGATTCATTAGTCCTTAATGTTTGTCAGTCCTTTGGTAAGATCTTTACTTACTACCAGCCAGTACTGCATCTGTAACCTTAGCTCACAATGGAACCCATAATAAACACTTGGTATGGTCGCGCCCCACATCAGAATAATGATGCCAAGGTAGTCGAATTGGTTCCCCAACGCTGCAACACGAGGACTGTGGTTCCCAAAAGTGTGATAGCTGTCACCGTTAATCATTGAAGTCAGAGAGTAAAAGGATGCAGTACGCTGCGGAAAGGAAGAAGCATGTTGCAACTCCAAAGAAAAACAGGGAGAGCGCCACAATATCACCAGTCTGCACTAGCGCAAGGTTGGTTCTCTCCATATATGTAAGAAATGGCAGAGTGATAAACAGAATGACTCCAGTTATATGTGAATGAATGTTGACTGCCGCGAAAATGTAAGGACGATTTGCATATAATCGTGCAAGGGGCGTGTTACCAGTTTCATTATGCAAATGCAAAATGCTCTGAAAAGATTGTGAATAGGAACCGGACGGATGCCTGTACGGTTGAATGAGACAATATATTTCTTGCTCCGAAATGAAGAAGACTGACCTGTATCCCGAAAGAATGTACTCGTTATCTCTGAATTCACTAATCAGCTGTTACATTCACAACGATTAGCAGTATCAAACTCGAATAGCTCACTGCTGCCAATTTGCTGTCATATAGAGTCAGTAGCGTATACCTTTGGAAAGGGTTGGTGTACTCCATCAACTCACACAATTCGTGCCATTCCAGCAAGCCCGCTTGGCTTTGCTTATGCTTCGATACATCTTGAGAACGCCTTCGATAGAGATTCATCAGCTTGTATGACTGAGTCTTACGTTTCGAAATAGATAGCGATGGCGTGTATGTTCTAGACTGTATCGTGGGCAGTGCTTTAAAATGATGATGTTTGTTGTACAGAAAAAAGCGTCGCGTGAAAGAAGATAGGTGTTTGTTCAGTACCCCGCAGCCTTTCATCAAGGCACTCAGTGAACACAAAGCCCGCACACCGACTTTCAGCGACTAAACCCCCTACCCCTCTTCCTCCGACTCAACTAACTACACTATCACCAATATTTGCTCTACTGCATACGTCTTTCTATAGCTGGTTGAGATAGGTCTAACCCAGAAACTATAGAACCACTTTAGACTCTGTGCTGTTCCCAACGGGGAGAAAGCCTACTCTTGATCGCACGGTGTATTGATTGCAAGCTGATGATCTGGACCCCAGATACTACCAGAATTGCTACAGTATCATTCAGAGTTAGGTTTGCAAAGAGTAAATCTAAGGTTGAAGATGAATAGACTTCGCAATATGCCTAACATGCAAAGGAAGAAGGCAAAGACACAATTGCAAGCGACCAGACACGAGACTCCAATTCATGTTACCCGTGCAAGCAAATTTACAGTTATCAATGAAGGTTTTTAAACTTCTCTAGAGATCCATATCGCTCTTATACCGCTGAAGAAGTCGCTTAGTAGCCTCATCTACTGCCTGGAAAAACTGTACAATGAGGTTCATTGCAATCTCGAACGCTTCTTTAGTTGATCCATGTTCCACAAGAAGAAATAATAAGACTAAGTCCATCTGCCCTTGGGCGAATTTCTTCTTCAAGGAATGCATGTCATTCATCAGGAATATGATGATTTTTGCGGCATCCCAAATAGCAATCATGTCCGGATCTACCGTGCAATTGCTTGGAAGAACGATTCTGCAAGCAAACTCAGATAGTGCAAGGCTAACACAGACAGCTCCAGTGTAAGGGTTGCGCAGAGCTTGCAGATACCTGATAACAGTAATGAATTCGATAGAGGTCTTAGGGAGCCTCGAGTAGGGATTATAAGAATCCCTTACGAAAACCACGCTAATTCTAACTAGGAAACTCAGGAGAAGTACTCAACTACACTGGCCACCAAGTGCCCTCGACGGGCAGCTGGTAGTCGTTAGTTGTTCTCACGGCGCTTTATCGCGATTACTACACTGGATCTCATCCAGGGTATATCTCCTGGGCACCAGCCCATTACACCTACCTAGGTAGGCGTGATAGATACATTGAAAGCTTCCCCCCCCTTAGGTTACATGCAGGTGGATATCTCGGAATCTCAGCCTGAATGATTCTGTCTCTTGTCCACTCAAACATTGTTCCTTCCTTATCTAAAGCCTGAACCCCAAACATTTTCCGTCTGTTGTTGGGCTCACCCTTTTTTGGCTTTGGTTTTGAAATCAACGATCCACTAGAGCTACATGGATAGGGAATTGCGTGATGATGTTTCCAGAACTCACAGTACAAGGTCTCTTCCCATTGAACCTTTAGGTAATTTAACTCGGTAGCAAAGAGATTCGAAATAGTATGCAACTGTTGCCGATACGGCCTTGTTACTATGTGAACTCGGTTGTACGGACCATCGTTGCCCCAAATCCACTTAAACATCTCCCTAGGTGTTTTGGCACACGTACGATTCTGGGCGACAAACACTAGGTCAGTAGAGAGTGCTGACTGGAAGCCACTCCTCGAGAACTTAATTTCATCTGGCCGAATAAGGTGCGAAGCCTCTGCTCGGATCTCCTTCTCTAGGGCCTTGAGTACATCAGCCCGATATACCTTGCAGATGGTATGTGCAAACAGAATAAGAATCTCATTTTCTGCTACACTACCCAGGGGTGCACTGATGAGAAGGTTCTTGAAGTCGCCCAGGGTTATAGGAGAGTCAAAGAGAACCCCATCACTGTCTGGGAACCACGAGAGGAGATACGCTTTCGAAATACCAGCTAGCTTTTGTGAAATAGAGTCCAGGAATTGCAATCCATCCCAATCAACTCTATCACAGGCAAACCAAGCATAGCCATACTGGGTAAGGGTATGTTGAAAACCAAACCCATAACTACTGATTGCTCCGAAGTTGTTATTGGCCTTAAAGCAGTCACACTACGCGATGTCATGCGACGTCGCCCCCCTGTTCGGAAGGATAAGGGTAATCGCGGGAAGGGTCCGTGTACTGGTTTGTTTCTTAGCTAATATGTGCTACGATAAGCGCCTGTGGCTGTAGATCTGTGGCTAAAACTCTGTGCTGGGTCTTAAAAAAAGAGCCAGGAATAATGACAGTAACACTAACAGCAGCATGCTAAGTATTGGCTTCTTTGCACAGTTTTGTTCTGATTTACATCAAATACTATCAAGCTTATGCTACGCATGCGCTACAGGAGCTTTCCATGGTTCTAGCGTCTTCTCCTACCCAATATGACACCGTACAAGCCTCAAATAACTCGAGATATACAACTTACTCATAGAACTCTCCTTCCAAAACCCCGTAGATTGCTGGATCCTCCTAGTCGCGAGAAAAACAGGGGTGATTTGCTGAGGCGGCGATCGAAAGCGCCGTCGAATCGATTGAGGTTACAACAGAGTTCGCAGTAATACTGCCCGGAGACTAGTCTCTCATCAAAGACATGCATGTAAAATAGCGTAGAACAATCAAACGTCTATAAACTAATATTAAAGACAATGCAGAAATCCAAATCACATATCTGTCTCGCCACACCTAGTGTCTCGCAACGCCTCGACATACGTTATATAAGAGTTACGGCAAAATTATATTGTTGACTAGGCCCATACACCGAGGGAAACTCTGGATTGAGGATTCATGCTTGACTCACAGTATATATAGGCTTTGTAAGGTGAATATTGCAGAAGCAGCCCTATCGCCGCACGCTCAATCACCTGGATTACCACTTCTCTCGCATACACGATGGTCGCACGGTCTCATGGGTATAGTGAATAGCTATTGCCAACGTCAACTGTGCCATAATCCAATTCAGCAGCACTTGTAGTGAATCACAAAGATCGTCGCGTTCTGTTCATTGGCCGCACCCCAACGTTTCTTCACACTATACTTAATACTGATGTACTCGATTTAAAGTTTGCACCAAAATTGAGGTTTGCTTGGGTGGCCGGGCCCTCCTTTTCCAGCCAAGTCAGATCGGGCTAGATAGATGCTTCTCCATAGAGTCCACAACTTCTAGTGGTTGGCCCTGACGTGGTTAATCCTAGCAGAAGAGTAAGTTAGAGGGTTCAGCTGAGCATTGAGCATTGCAAGTCCCAGAATCTATAACGATGCATGGCCATGCATTGGAACATCTATCCTTGCTTATGATGATTTCAAGTGCCTGACGCTGCGCTGGAATGTGATGCATTTGCCACTTTTGACAAAGGGGCGCGAGTTTCTTGTGCATGATCATCGAAACGTCTGGGCTAGTTAGTCTCGAACGCGGAGGTTTTGGCATAGACTGGTGCATCGGAGCTGTTGTCAACCCTCATATCTTGAAGCCAGCTATCACCTACAGTCGCAACAATGAAAGGAAACAATAAAGAGCCAGTGATTGCTAAGTATAGAGTCATCCGTGAGGTCGACGACGACCCGGAGATGTAGCGTGTACAGTCCTGTGCATTAGAGGTGTTGTCCAAAATGGATAATGAAGAAAGATATGATCCCTCGAGATCTGGATAGCAAGAGTTCTGTGAAATGGCTTTTGAATAGGGTCACAGTAGAGGTAGATATACTGCGTGACCTTTGAAGGAAATTATAGATCACTAATGCATTACACGAAGAATAATGATGTTGTCTCTCTTCTTCAGCATTAACCCTGCTTTACCAGAGAAGATGCTGCCAGGAGCCTCCTTCATCGACCAGGGTGTATCAAGGTCAAATACGTGTACCAATCCGGATTCTAAGCTCACGTCCCTAGATGATAGCCATACAACTCGCACCGATATGCTTTCGTCATTTGGTGGGTTTGTGTGTGTGGACGATATCGACGACCACTGACCACTAACGCCTGCTACCACTAAGTCGTATGTCACTATCATATGGATTCGGGGTGTGTGAAATCGTACAATACAGGCTGGAGATATGACTGTCGTAATAGCACAGCCGGATATCAGGGAGTGTATTTCTGTGGAGATGGGAAAACGCAATTCTTCTGCTTCCGACTGCGTAAAAACGGATGTATAATCTGTGGACGTGTACTTTGATTCTGCAAGTTTAGGACGACTTCTATGTGACGGTACTGCCGACACTGCTGAAGGTGTATCGGCCTGGGGAGCGAAGAGTATGCTTTCATTCGGGTCTGAGAACTTACTTCGCGACCGAAGTAGGTATGTTCTGAGTTTAGCTTCTAGGAACTGATTAAGATCATCCACTGCTTGCTGTATTTGGAGTCGAGAAGACTCCGGTAACGTCATGATCTGAGGTAGAGGAATTCTCCATCTAGGATACAACCTTCCATGGCAGCTGCGAATGTGAAATTTCCCATGAGCCTGAATGAACAAAGCGCAGAGCAGGCAAGCGTGCTTATTAGAGCAGATGATGCGCGGCTGGAGGAGAGGAGGATGTTTCATAGAGTAGAGAAGTAGCTGGATCTCAGCATGGACACGCTTCGTCATAGTGGCATGACAATCGATAGATGATTCTAATTCAGAATGGCTCATCCCAAGCATAGATTTGAGCTGAGATGAGATCTCACTTCTCTGAACAGATTTATCGTATCCTTGAAGGCTTCTTGTGAATATACCATGTTGCACTGAGAGAGGTTCCCATGTACCGAGACCTTCGGGGTATGTCTCACTAGAGATCTCTGCTATCTTCAGATGATGGAAGATTGGGTCTTTGTGAGCTCTTCTTAGGAGATAATGTGCTGCACTGCGATACTGAGCAAGACCATTAAGACTTTTGACTAAGCTTCGAACGGCAGATTCTGGCCAAGTGGGTATATCATTCGGAATCAGCATCAGGAGCGCGACAATATCCGTGGACGTAAGCAGCATTTCCACCTTTGAGATGATACAATACAAAGATTGACTTCCCGACTCTGAATGCGCAGCGGTAAAGGACATGGCTTCAAGCTTGGCGAATGCACACTCCAGCAGATCAGTATGTGGCTTGATAGCGGCAGTCGCGGCGGGATTGATCCGAAGACGGCTGATAACTTTGATGCCATCACATAATCTTGAGATGACTGCTTGCCTGCCAACTTTGTGTCTCCGGTGAGACTTTGCGTGGCTCGAGCGTAGGCGAACTAGTAGCCGTGATTGACAGGCAACCACGATCTCTTTGAAGAAAGTCTCCTCATCTTTTGCTGAATTTCGATCAGTCAGATGGTACTGTAAAATCAAGAGCAAGTTACGAACATGCCGTTAAGCGTTTCAAAGCGCAAATTATTCTATCGAAGGTCGATGTCCGCTCTTGTTGGCTGCCAGAGTTCACAGCCATCCTAATTAACAAGCCGGTAGCGTTAGGTTGCTCCTCTACGCATATGGCTCCGACTGCGTTGGGGTCGTCTGTGTTTGCTAAGAGAATTGCGAATGCCTCAGCAACTTGTTGCTCATGTTGCAGGGAGAGGTGATGATGGATTGCCCCAGGAGGATCGACGGGTAGCGTATAGTCCATAAGCGGCTCAAGCGTTGTGCCACAGAGAGATAGAAGCGCTATGTTCTCTGTAAGTGCACCATGCTTCGTGACCATGACTGCCTAAAGTCTTGAGGTTCAGAGCTTAGAACTTCACACAATGATGCAGTCGATATTTGATTCTTCTTCTACTCTTGTTGTGGGTCCCGATATACTGGTTCACCCGAATCTTGACTTCCGACGCCCCTTGCTGTCTGCCATTGTCGTGGCTGCTGAGAGGTAGGTAGCTTGAGATGCGCCGCAATAAACTGGCGCCGTTCGCTTTCGCACACTAGCTGGTGAGTAACTTAGAGAAGACACCAACATCATCGGCATTGTCGAGCACTAACACCCATGGTCCATTCTTTCTGTTCTGAAGCCAGTCGTGGACCAGCTTGAATACGTCCGCTTACGGATCTTTGCGACCACGGATCTTGACCTGCTCTGCGATTTCTTGGAAGCTCTGCTCTAGCCGCGCCTTGTTGTTGGCATGTGCGGAGAATATCCATGTCTCTTTTGACCGCTCAGCGGTGCGGTATAGTTGCGACTTCCTGTATCATAGATGCGAGTACTGCTCTGGGGTGCAGTCGACCTACCCCACACCACCAAGACCTACAAGCACGACTCGCGACGCCGACGCAGCGCATCGTTTGCAGAGCTGGCCGAGCAGCGTTCCGCAAGGAGCAAAGTCGGGGTCGCGGCGGAACGGCACGAAGCACGACGGGCGCGGCGGAGTCTCAGGGCGTTCTGTGCACCGGGGTCGTTGGCGCAACGTTATGGATCGAGGTAGAGCTAGTACTTGCCAGGAGCGACGTGGATAGAATCGGCGTTGAATTTATCCCCTGATTGCTGTCGCCCGCGGAGGTGGTACCTATATTCGGAAGGACCATGGGAATAGTTGAGGTTGACGGTGTGAGATGTGACGGACAGGTCATGCGTGAGGCTGAGCGGTCACGTTGGGGCTCGCGTCCTCATGTCAGCCTGCTGCCATCGCGCCTACAGCACACAAATTTAGTCCCTCGCTCATGCTGCCGTTACACGCATGTCGAAGAGCAACAAGAAGTAGCAGCCCATACCGTCTTGTCTATCCCAACCTTCTGTCTGGCGTCCGATTTATCCCGCCATCAGCATCTTCCGCCAGCAGAGCAACATGGCAGAAACCGCTGGGCTTGTTGTTGGCGTCGTTGCCCTTGTTGCCCTTTTCAACAACACCGTCGAATGCTTCGAGTTGGTCCTGCTCGGTCGCTCGTTCGGAAAAGACTTCCAGACCAGTCAGCTGAAACTCGACAACGCAAGACTCCGCTTGTCACGGTGGGGCAAGTCACTAGGTCTTGATGAGGATATTCAGGATGCGATGTCGCTCCAAGAGCATTTTGGATCCGAGTCGACGGTCGAACACGCCGAAGCCTTGCTCGGGCAGATAGTGGAACTGTTCGCAGATGCTGAAGGCGTATCAGACAAATACAAGAGTCGTACAGAGCCTCAGCACGACGGCCTTACAGTATTCAACCCTCAGACAGATCTAGATCCAGTAATGGCAGAGCTTCACCACAAGATGCGGCAGCTAGCGATCGAGCGCCAGAACAGGTCTGGTTTGCGACAAAAGGCAAAGTGGGCCTTGTACCAAGAGAAACAGTTTCGACGACTGATAGAGGATATCACGGAGCTGGTCGACAGCCTGGTCGAGCTCTTCCCAGCCTCCAAGCTGTCCCAGCGTGAGCTGTGTGACATGGAAGTATCCGCAATTGGAGAAGGCCAGGGTATCTCTGTGTTGAGAGAGATAGCCACCGCTCAGGACAGACTGCTGGAGCAGGCTATCACAAAGGCCGCAGATAGTACAGGAAAGTCCCACCACATTGTCTTCTCTGGTAGTGGCAACACTGGTCTCCAGGTTGCACACAATTCCGGTACCATGTCTGGATTTACTTTCGGACGGAGCAGCTGAAATTGGTAGAAGCAGACACGAGAATGGTGTCAATATAGATTGAACTGTGCCTTGTTTGCCTCACAAGCCATGGCAGCAAATAATTAGAACGATACATCAGATCACTACCCTTACTGATTTGATGTATACCAATCGTTTCATGTGCTTCTTTCCATCCCAATTTAGCTTAGATGTTGCTAAAATTTTGTTTGTCTCCGTCTTGTGCTTCCTCAACAAACGGCTAGATGCATAGACGCAACGTAGGCTTGAATTCGTCGGCTGTATGACATCTCATTACGCTGGCTCCTATTCTAAATAATCTGGATATATATACAAGAACGGCTTTCAATTTATCCGTATTGTTCGTTCAACTGACTCGCATGACCCTTCTGAGTAACCAACGTACGAGACCATCAATGTCAAGGTATGTTCGCTTCCTAAGCTGAGCCACCGTGATATTCGTCTTAGAGAAGCACCTTCTGCGATCTAGTCAACCATTGCGTTGCCGAGCTCTCCGCTGGGCAAGAACACTATACCATCTGCCCCGAGGAATCAGAACAAGACACACCGGAGGTTATTATTGTCGTTATCCACAATCAGCGCAACAGCTGCTTCCACACAGCACTCACGTACACGAATCCCGAAGTTGAAAACGCAAAAGCAGTCTGTTCTCAGGCCATCCTGTATAGAACTACGGAGAATGATCCCAGCCTCTATTACTGTGTTTACGACAGCGTTACCCAGACGGTCTTCTTCTGTCTCTGTGACCCGTTAAAGCAAGAATTTGAAGACATTTCTGAATACTCGATGCGAGATGAGGCAGATAGAATCGCAGAGTTATTGAAGATATACATGGTCTCTAATACTGAAGTTCTGTCTTCGTGCTCAAGGTAACGCAAGGCAACGCCATGTCGCACCCGTTTGTGAGCGTACCGACGTCGGCGGGTTGGTGAGGAGAGCCTGCATCATTGATGAGCATCCGTATACAGAATCAATCTATCTTCTCTTCATCAAGCATTACTCCCAAGTACTACCTAAAGACAGTTCCGTTAGGGAGCATCGGCGACTAGGCTGATCAGGCTGCGGTGAGGCTGCGCCGCGGCTTTGCGCAGCCACGTGAGATCTGGTCCAGCCTGATAAGCACGAACATGTCTTCTACCTTTTCACACGTCCGCTGCACAATGGCCCTGCCCAGCATCACCACTACATTTGCGGGCAACGGCAATCTAGGGCTCCAGGTTGGACACAACTCTGGTGCTATCCACTTTGTTGCTCCCGGCAAGTGCCGCTCCCGCCTTCGTCAGCGCTGCGCTAATCGTCCTCTATCTAGACCGCCCAGAGACTCCACCAGAGCCTGCGTGCTTCGTACCGTTCCGTCGCGACCCGCACTTCATCGCTCGAGGCACGCTACTCGACCAGATCTGCGAACGATGCGCTGCGCCGGCATCTCGGATTGCGCTCGTCGGCCTTGGTGGGGTTGGGTAAGTTGTGTGGGAGATTCTGTGCATATCACGTCTAACATGGCTATAGTAAGTCGCAACTCGCCATCGAACATTGCTATCGTACCGCGCACCGCGTTTCGGGCACTTGGGTGTTCTGGGTGCACGCTGGCAGCGCGACTCGACTTGAGCAGAGCTACCGTGACATCGCCGACCAGGTCAAGCTGCCTGGTCGATCAGAGCCGCAAGCGAATATATTTGAGCTTGTGCGTAACTGGCTGCGTAACGAGAAGAACGGAAAGTGGTTGCTCGTGCTCGACAATGCCGACGACTCTGCAACGCTTACTTCACTGCCAGGGGGGCCCCAGGGACATCTGTCAAGATACCTCCCTCCAAGCAAGCATGGAAGCGTCGTTGTAACGAGTCGCACAGTTTCTGTTGCATTGCATTTAGTTGAGGAGCAAGACATCATCTACATAAAGCCGATGCATGTCACCGATGCACAGAAACTTCTCCAGAAAAAGCTGAGAGGCGAAGTCGCTACAGATGGAGTAAATGAGCTAGCAGTAACGCTAGAGTATATGCCACTTGCGCTTGTGCAGGCGGCAGCATACATCTCAAAGCGGGAACCCCACTATTCAATCCAAAGATACCTCGAAGAGTTTCGCAAGAACGACAAGCGGAAAGTTAGCCTACTGAACCAGGTGGCGGGACATCTTCGGAGAAACGAGGAGGCCAAGAACTCAATCATCGTTACGTGGCAAATATCATTCGATCACATTTGGCGCACAAGACGGTCGGCTGCGGATATTCTGTCGCTTATGAGCTTTTTTGACCGACAGGGTATTCCTAAAGCCTTGCTTTTCGACTCGAACGTTTCGCAATCGGCACCTAGAGATATACGAGCAGACGATGGCGAGGAAAGTGATGATGCTGAGGATGACGATAGCGCCTCAGACTGCAGCGTCGATGATAGTTTTACAGACGACATCCTGACTCTGAGAGATTATTCTTTTGTCTCTGAAACGACTGATCCAACAACGTTGGAGATGCACAGCTTAGTGCAGCTAGCAATGCAAAATTGGCTCGAAGGTAGGGGTGAGATAGAAGGTTGGAGGCAGCGATTCATCAACACTCTATGCTCAGCTTTCCCAACAGGACAATACGAAAACTGGGACACTTGTCGCTCACTTTTCCCACATGCAATAGCAGCATTAACTAAACGACCACGAGACGAACGTAGTCACAAGGAGTGGGCTGAATTGATGTACAATGCAGCGTGGTATGCATGGCAGAGAGGAGACATCCACGAGGCAGAAAGCCTAGCAATAGCATCAATGAACACTAGAAGCAAGCTGCTGGGGACTGAAAGCGAAGAGACACTCCACAGTATGGCTATGGTAGGAGCAGCATACCAGCTAGCAGGCCGTTGGGACGCCGCGGAAGAGCTAGAGGTGCAAGTGATGGAGGCGAGCAAGACGAAGCTTGGCGCAGACCATCCCTCCACGCTG